GGACCAGGCTTCCTGCAAGCTAACAAAATACTGTTCATAGTAGAAGATAGACAATCCAAATCCTGGTTCTTGGGTTGTATTTATGGGTTTTGGCAGCTGTGGCTTCTGAGAGATCTTTACCCAAAGAAAATCAAGAGTTCAGGAAGGAGGAAATGTAAAGATGAAAGAGAAGGAGCCTTTGTGTTTGGAACTCAGCCAAGGATGATTCTGGAAGGGTGGTCATTGGGAGGACAGTAGAGCCAGCCCCAACCCAGAAGAAGGGCTGGGCCCTCACAAGCTTTCTCCTGGATTCTCTTTCAAGGCTGCACACTATTTGCCTTCATCTCCTGTAGTGAGGCAGGAAGGGTTGTGTGTTTTGGACTGTGTCATTCTTAAAACTCTGTCCTTCACCTCTACTGAGCCAGGTGGTTCTAGCACTTGTTTTCCATTCAGCGAGTGACAGGGTGACCTGTATCTGTCAGCCAAAAAGACAATCACATCTCATTGCAAAATGTGGCCACGTGGTGGGGACGCAGCTAGAACCCAGCAAGAACTCGGGAAGGGGCCGGCCCTCTCACTTCCTCCAGCTGACCATGCGGCTGAAAACCAAAAAACCAGCAGCTGCAGTTGACCAGCTAGGAGCATCTTAGGGCTTTGTATCAGAGCTGTGATCTGTGGGTGCTGCCCTCAGGATAATGGTGGAGGAATTTTTGCACTCAGTTGGTGAACATGGCATAGCAGCACCACAAGTGTAAAACAATGGTAGTGCTATCATAAAAAAAATAAACTTGGAGGGGGAGAAGGAATCTTCCAGGAACAGTAGTTGAGAACATATTTTTTGCCTAATGCAGAGTGATGGCTGTTTGCAGAGAGCCTGTCAGCCAGAGGTCCCCAAACTGTACTTCTCCACCACCGCCTTTTAAGGAAAGACAGCTCAGGAGTGCTGGTCCCCAAGATCTTCTTTAAGTGGATAGATAGGTGGCGCCCATCCCCGAAGTTGCACAAGGCCACCTGGGGGCGGTGGGGGGTGGGGGTCAGTTGTGGGTGCTGCCTTCTTACTTGGAGTTTTCTAAGCCCTTAAGACTGAGCTCTCAGCTTGAATGCACCATCCCTTTGGGAAAATGAGTGGGCGATTGGTAAAAGGCTGGTCGCCCAGCACACATGTCCTAAAGTGCTCTCATTTTGTTATCTTGTCTGTGAAAATCAAAGAATGTGCTGGAGTGCATGTTTTGCACAGGCTTCCTGTAATTTTGTCCATAAGTTTAGTATAAAATAGTTTTTAGTCAAAGTAATATCACATTATGATGGCATTTGATTTTAGGCATGATATTGTAAATCGGCATCTTGTATGTATTGCATTAAATTCATCATTCATTCTGTTCTCCACCAGACGCATGGAGTATATTTCTTAATGATCTTGCAGAAGTAAAAAAAAAATAATCCCTACCCTTTTTCCTGATTACTTTTTTCTTATACCCAATTCAAATGTTACCCAGGTATTTTTTGCAACAGTGTTTCAACTGATGATTTCTTTTTCTTTTTTCTTTTTGGGTCACATCAGGTGACGCTCAGGGGTTACTCCTGGCTCTGCACTCAGGAATTACTCCTGGCAGTGCTCCGGGGACCATATGGGATGCTGGAGATCAAACCCAGGTCAGCCATGTGCAAGGCAAACGCCCTGCCCACTGTACTATTGCTCCAGCCCCTCAACTGTTGATTTCTTAAGCTGTCTTCTCTTGTTAACTTTCCTGAAGCACCTAGTAAAACTCAGCTTATGCTATTTATGTTAGAAGTTTCTGAGTGACAGGGAAGGAAGGATTTTCCCTCACCCCTGGGGCCCTGAGTCTGGACTGGGAAATAGCACCAGTGGATTGGATGGACACTTGCTGCTTTCCCTGGAAGCTGTTGGACATGCTTGGCCACGGAGCAGAGCAGGGAATGAAAATATAAACTTAAAAAGCCTATTGCATGTCATATTTGGGTATTTGAATTAAAATACAGAGCTAAGATGTGTTTGACCTTTTTTCATTTTTAAAGCGGCTACGAGATTTTTTTTAAAAGACATTATTTCATGCGGACATAATGCCAGAGTGATAGTACAGCCGTAAAGGCACTTGCCTTGCACATAGCTGACCCCAGTGTAATCGCTGGCTCTCCATGTGGTCTCCTAAGTTTCACCAAAGCCAAGAATAAGCCCTGAGCACAGCCAATTGTAGCCCAAAACAAAACACATAAATCAATTACATTGTTTTGTGACTCATACTTACGGTTGCATTAGCATTGGGTTCACATTGGACAGGGCATTGCTGTTCAGGTCTGCATCTTCAGACTTACTTAGGAAAGACAAATGAAAGCACTTGGGAATTTTTCATTTTGTTCTGAAGTTTTTCTTTAACCTAAATTCTGTCTGATCAGATTAACCTGTCCAGTGTTGCAAAAAGAAAAAAAAAATCTTTGCAGTTAATTGTTTCTCAGAAACCTGTTGTTTTGAGAATAACTTTGTACTATATTGCCTGTCTTGCGTTGCTTCACCTTTTCTAGCCTGGCGGGATCTGAGTGATAACTGAAATCTGGGTAATTGTGTCCAGACATTCAAGCTTGTGCACAACCATTTTGCCCATGGCAAAAGTGCCATGAGCATTTTTTGGTATGTCTGTTATAAACTTAACATCACTTGAACTGAATGAAAACTCCTTAGGTAGAGATATTATCGCTGACCTATTTGTTCTCTAGTAGAGTCAAGTTCTGGTCATTCAAAGCAGCCTAGAGTAAGGCTCTCAGCTGGGATGCAGTGCTGGGCCTCAGATCTCACTCGAGCCCTGGACCTGCTCCACCTCTGGCCTCTGCTCCCACAGAAATCACACACGCAGACAAATGACGCAAGAAGAGTTGTCGCAGCAGGGGGCTCTCCACCAAATGGTCTTGCCTGACACTGATAGCAAGTTGCTATTTCAGTCTCTCAGTACCTCCTTCCTTCCCCCACGGATTGTTTTTGGTTGTACTAGCTCTGCAAATGAAGAAAACCTGACTTTTGTCCAAGGCCAGGGAAAACAGGCCAGGAGGACTGGTCAGTAGTTGGAATCTACCACAAGTGTGTGTGGGACAAAGGGTAGGTAAGGTAGAGAAGGGGCCAGTGTGGCAATAGTAGTTGGAAATGATCATGTTGGACAAGAACTGAGTGTTGAAAATAGGTAAGGGGATATACACGATGACCTTTCAGTAGCTGTATTGCAAACCATAATGCCCAGAGAGAGAGAGGAAAGAGAGGAGAGGCCTACCATAGAAGCAGGCTGGGGGTGGAGGGAGGGAAACTGGGGACACTGGTGCTGGGAAATGTACACTGGTTACACTGGTGGAGGAACGGGTGTTGGAACACTGTGACTGAAGACTAATCATGAACAGTTTCGTAAGGGTCTAGCTCAGTGAGAAAATTTTAAGAAAAAGAAGAAGGAGGGGGAGGAGGGGGAGGAGGAGAAGGAGGGAGAGAGGAGGGGGGAGGGGGAGGAGGAGGAGGAGGAGAAGAAGGAGGAGGAGGAGAAGAAGGAGAAGAAGAAGAAGGAGAAGAAGAAGAAGGAGAAGAAGAAGGAGAAGAAAAATCTGGCTTTGAGTATGGTTTTGAAGCAGTCCAGGAAAATCAGATCCACTTCAAGTTCTTTGTGAATCTAGTTACCTTCAGAACTTTAGGCTCAGTAAAGCCATGATAGATTAAAAGGCTTTTCTGGACTCACCCAAGCTAATGCTTTGGGGGAATATAGGGCCCATTATGCCCCCATTATGCCACTTGTCCCCTTTGCAGCCTTATTGCTCTGATCACTCTTGCTTCTTTACAAACAGCTGATAAGAATTCAGAGTGGTAGTACAGCACGGAGGCATTTGCCTTGCATGCTGCCAACCCAAGTTTGATCCCCAGCATGCCATATGGTCCCCCAAACTCCATCAGGAATTAATTTCTGGGTGCAGAGCCAGGTGTAATCCGTGAGCCTGCCAAGTGTGGCCCAAAAACAAAATAAGCACACACATACCCACACACACTCACAAATACCCAAACAGCTAATGACAGCCTCTTCCATGGCTGCTGCTTACTCTGAGCATCCTGACTAGGTGCAGTGATTCATTGGGAGGAGGAAGATACTTTAACGTATGCAGAAACATCTACTCACTGTATAGATCTCTGATTGACTCAGACATTTTGTACACACACTGTCACAAAGAAATATGTTCATTTCTGTTCATAAGATGCTCAGAGTACTCTTTGAGATGACTTTTTATTATCCTTGTGGGGTCACAGGATGGTGGAATGGAGACTTTATTTTTTCCTCCTGGATTGGGTCAAGAATTCTGTCCTGAAAAATTTTTTTTTATGTCAACCCCTGTCATAAAATCTGCAGAGATACAGTGCATGTTTTGATGATCAGATAAATGTGTAAAAGAATTTTTATTGTTTATCTTTCTTTGAATTTTGACATATTGGTGATCATCTCATAATTTATTTAATGTCTTGATTGCCATGGTTTCAGGGAGATGAAAATGGGGTGCCAGGTATAGAATGGTAGCATGAGTTAATATGGTCTTTAAAATTTCAAGAGCTCTGCATGTAGGCTGGGAAGAGGGTGTGTTTGGCTCATTATAGGACCAAACTCGGAGAGATTACTCATCCACCAGAAGAGATCTCAAGAGGAGGCTTGCTCTTTTTACATGAACCAAACATCTGAGGTTCCTCATTTGCTTGTCAGCTTAAAGAAAAAGAATGATCTTTGACTTAGGATAACAGCCATAGTTAATCTCTACTCCCCTCCCTACCCCCAAACAAGTGGGTTTTTTAAGTTTGGAATCATCAAATTACTAATCAGTGTCCATTGTCCTCCAAACTACGCACTGGTCAGCAGCTATTAGTCTTTAAGAAGTTGACACTTTGGGTTTGTAGTTTAGTTTGGTTTCAGCTGTCCTGACTCAACATAATTTTCTTACTGAATCAGATTTCTGTTTGTTCTAAATCCACTAATGGAAGCTTTCTCCATCAGGGTTGGATGAATGAGATTCACAACTACGATCCAGAAACCTACCACGCGACTTTGACACATTCGGTCTTTGTTCGGCTGGAGGGCAGCACTTTAAGACTTTCAAAGCCCAATAAAAATATATCCAGGAGGGCAAGCTATAACGAGACAAAGCCAGAGGTCACCTACATCAGCCAGAAAATCTACGACCTCTCAGACAGTAAGGTGAGTCTGCAAAATGTGGAAGCTAATTGGGGGTATGGTGCCGCCAGCAGGTCAATCTGTACCTGTGAGGCGAGTGCATCAGCAGCCTGTTGGCGCCTTCAGACTTCCAGATACCCCAAAATTGCTGCTGTGCCTTTGGCCAGACCCCAAAAACTTGGGGCAAAGTTTACCAAGAAAGTAAACAGCCAAAAGTTAGGTATGTGGGAAACACCCACAAACCACCTCCGGCTCAGCTATATAATTGGAGGCAAGGCCTCTCTGGTTCCTGATTGAACTGCTTAATGGCCATGATCCCAGAGACTCAGAAACGAATCTTGGAAACCAGCAGCTTTAGGTAGAAATGCGTCCGGTCCCTGCAGTAGGTTACCGGTGCTGGGCCAACCCAGGTGGGAATAGGTTTCATGCCTTGGCCTGTTCCCCCTGGCAGCCCAGTTGGGCCGCCATCCTTCAGAGGCCACTGGAGAGTCAGGTTTGGGCCCCCAGTGACAAGACACACAGGGCCTCATGGGATGGGGGTGGAGCCGGGCTTGTCCTCCCCACCCCAACAAGACCCCAAGTCATCACCCACGAATGGCCTCTCTGGCTCCTGATCCAGCTGCTTAACGGCCATGATCCCAGAGACTCAGAAACAAATCTCAAAACCCAGTGACTTTTGGCAGAAATGTGTCTGGACCCCACAGTACGTTACTGTCGCCAGGCCATCCCAGGGAGGAAAGGGTGTTGTCACTCCACCTGCTCCCTCTTGGCGGCTCGGTGGCCATCATCTTTCAGAGGCCATTGGACAGTCAGGCTTGGGCCCACAGTGACAAAACTTGTTGGGCCTCACGGGATGGGGGGGGGGGAGCCGGGCCTGTCCTCCCCTTTCCAACGAGACCCCAAGTCATTGCCCACGAACGGCCTCTCTGGTTCCTGATCAAGCTGCTTCATGGCCTTGATCCCAGAGACTCAGAAACAAATCTCGAAACCCAGCGGTTTTTGGCAGAAATGTGTCTGGACCCTGCAGTAGGTTACTGTCACTGGGCCACCCCAGGGGGGAAAGGGTGCTGTCCCTCTGCCTGTTTCCCCCTGGCGGCTCGGTGGCTGCCATCCTCCAGAGGCCATTGGACAGTCAAGCTTGGGCCTAACAGTGACGAAACTTGTTGGGCTTCACAGGATGGGGTGGGGGGAGCCGGGCCTGTCCTCCCCACCCCAACGAGACCACAAGTCATTGCCCACGAACGGCCTCTTTGGCTCCTGATCTAAGCAGCTCAACAGCCATGATCCCAGAAACTCAGGAGCAAATCTCGAAACCCAGTGGCTTTTGGCAGTAATCCCTCCAGATTTAAGTGTTAAAATTTCGGAATTTCAAAATCACATGGCCCTACTGCAGCCACGCAACATCATATGTTATTCATAATCAGCAATAGAACACAAATTGTCTATTGTTGCCTTTTCAGCATATCTGAGTGTTGGGGTAAAATCTCAAATAATAATGGTGGGTCTGGTGTCGAAATATTGAATGTGATCAAAGTAGAGAGAGAGTAATGTGGAAATCATCTGCCCCACAGTTAGGGGGAGGGTGTGGGATGGGGGTATACTGGGGTTTTTGGTGGTGGAGAATGGGCACTGGTGAAGGTACAGGTGTGTTTCATTGTATGACCGAGACTTAGACCCAAAAGCTTTGTAACTGCTCTCACGGTGATTCAATAAATAAAATTATTTTTTAAAAAATGTGGAAGCTTAGATGAAGGAAAAGCATTTGTAATCTTGGTTGGTTGGTTGGTTGCTGTGTTTTCCCCTCTATTGGTGTAGTTTTCGGTGTGTGTGTGTGTCTGTGTGTCTGTGTGTCTGTGTGTCTATGTGTGTGCATACACATGCATGTTAATGTGCCCATGATTTCCCTGGGCACCTATATTGAATGCAGTTTCTAGTCCAGAAACTCCTGAGTGGGGTCCACTCAGGCCTTTTCATGAGCTTTACAATACCTAGGGCCTGTGCTGCTGGTCTGTGGGCCTCATGTTTCCTTCTGGTTTTGACACTGACCCGCTTTAATCCAACAAAGCTTGTGTGGTGGTGCTAGAGTAAGAGCTTGTGAAGATTGTAAATGTGAACACCATGGTTATGCAAAATAACTGTTCAGTGATATATCAGTATTCTGCCCTTCTGTTTTTTGACAAATATAAATTATTCCAAAAACAGTTTCTCGTATCATTATTCTGTGCTTCTTATAACTCACTTGAGTGATCATTATGTTCCCCTCAAATGGCAGAAGTATTTAAAATAGTTATTGTGTAAATTTATTCTGGAGGTTGATCAACTTGAGCTTCCCATCTGGATCTAGTTTGTTTGTTTTGTTTCCAGCTTAAATTTGGTCTAAGGTCATTTTTGACAATCAAACTTAGTTGATGCTAATAAACCAAACAATTATTGAGCCCTTTTGAGATGATTTGGGGGAATAAAAAAGGGCTTTTCTAAAAATGAATCTAGTTTCATTAGTCATAATACAAACTTGTAGTTATTTAACATCCGTTATTTACAAATGCAAACTTAAAAGTGTTCATACATGGTGTAGCCAGTTCTTCATTTGCTATGGAAGTGATCGGTCCTCTTTCTCTGCAGATCTATCTTGTGCCTAAAAGTTTAGCTCGGAAAAGAATCTGGAATAAGAAGTACCCCATTTGTATCGAGCTCGGTCGACAAGATGACTTTATGGCTAAGGCCCAGACTGACAAGGAGTCTTCTGAAGAAAAGCTACCAGCTGAGAAAGAGCTGGGTGTGGAGGACCCTAAGAAACCAGCCCACCCTCAGGAGGGAACCCGGGCCCAGCGAGATCAGATACTGTATCTCTTTGGTAGAACTGGCCGAGAAAAAGAAGAGTGGTTTTCAAGATTCATTCTGGCATCAAAGCTGAAGTCGGAACTCAAGAAGCCACCTGGCGTCTCTGGAAGTAAACCAGGTACTGATGAGTGTGCCGAGTGCATCTGTGGCTTCAAGTCCTGTAGGCGAGTGAGGGTTGCACAGGTGGGAAGTTGGGCAGGCAGGTGCTTCCCCCCGCCTCCCGTCCCCCCTGCCTAGGAGGTTGAATGTCTGCACCTGACTGGCCCTCTTGGTCCTTTCTCTTTTTATGTGGCCAGATTCTGCAGCTCTTGTGGGCTAAGCCACTCCTGGCAAGAGCTTGGGGTGGTACTAGGCCTCCACTTGACACTGCTGGGGTAGGAGGTTCCCGTGGCCCTGGGGGTCACACTCAGGGCCATGTACATGGTTGGCATGTGCTCTGTCCCTCAGGCCATCTCCCCAGCCCGCCCCTACCCTGTTAGGCTGATCATTGCAGTCCTTTGTGCTAAGTGGTGGCAAGACTATTGGCAGGTTTGTGTGTGTGTGTGTGTGTGTGTGTGTGTGTGTGTGTGTGTATTCCCGTTTGCTGGTTCCTTAGCATCACACTTACTTGGTGACTCTTCTGTGAGAGTCACTAGTGAGAGGCAGGTCAGGGAGGCAGGGATACCTGAGGCGGGGGCTTTCAGGCTCAGCTGTCACTATGTCTCCGGGCCTGCAGTCTTCACAGAAACGCAGGATCCTCATGCCTCCTGCCCCCTGCATTTGCAGCAGTACCCACACAGCATCTCCTGGCCCCACCCTGGCTGATCACACTCCTGCAAGGGGCACCCCCTTCTCCCCTTGAGGCTCATATGATGAAATGGTCAAATGTCAGCAAGCTGCTGGAATTAGCACGTGCCACCAGTGGTTGGAGGAGAGCAGAGAAGAGCAAGACCACTGGCCGTTACGAGGCAAAACTTTCCAGAATGGAGCCTTTCTGGGGCTTTCCCCAACAATCACAGATGATGCGGGCTGCAGGGGTCTAAACACTGCATCACGGGGCTTCAGAGACCTGATTTCCAGCCTGCTGCACTGGCTTCAGCCCCATCCCGTAACTGAAATTCAAGTAGGCCCATGGCGACACCTAGAACGCTAGGACACCTTGTCCATCTAGAACGCTAGAACTCGAGATGAACAGGGGGATGGATGACCAGATATATCGGTTTCTCTGACTGCAGGGACAGAAGTCACAAACAGCAGTGTAAAACCACAAGAGTTTATTTTTGGACAATTTAGAGGCCAGAGTTCCAAAACAGGGTGTTGGCAAGCCATGTCCCTTTGAGAGTCTGTGTAGAACCTGCCCTACCTCTTCCTGGTGCATGGTGGTGGCCGTCTGCCCTTGACACTTCTTGACTGTGGCTCCGTCCCCCTCAGCCCTACCTGTCAGCTCCTGGCCTTCTGACATCTGTCAGTGTCTCTTTACCACTCAATTTGCTCTCTACCTTAGAGGGGCTGGGATGCAGCTGAGTGTCGAGCACAGGCTTTGGCTGGATGAGGCTCTGGGTTGTGTGTTTGGATCCCAACATTACCCCCTCACCCCAAAAGAGCTCAATGTAGGGAGTAGGCCCTTATTTTAACTAGTTATATCTACGGCATCCCATTTCTAAATTATATCATATTCTGAGGCACTGGGGACTAAGGATTTCATGTGTCCTTTCAAGAGACAAGGATAAGTCCCTAATTCTGGGTAAAAGATGATCTGAGTGATGAGAAAGTTAGCAGCAGCCACTGCTTCCTGCCACCTCTGTCCCTCACAGGGGCCACAACTCCAATGACTCCTGAAATGTGCTCCCAGTCTAAGATGCACGCCAGATGACAAGTTACTGTGGCAGGGATGATAATTCTCATTAATAGTTGTTATAGTGATGACATAGTTACACAGTTGGGTAAAGAAAATATATTCAGTTTGTTTCTTTTACTCCCACCCTACCTTTTTTCACTGGCATAGTTTGCATTGCTCAGAAGCTACTCCTGTCTTAGTGCTCAAAGGTCACTTCTGGCTGTGTTTGGGAGACCATGAGGTGCCAGGTATTGAGCCCAAGCCTCCTCCGTGAATAGCAGGTGTTTAAGCTTGTCGAGTCCTTTCTTTTTTTAAATCTTATCTTTTAATTGAATCATCATGAGATACACAGTTACAGTTGTTCATGATTGGGTTTCAGTGATACAGTGTTCTAACACCCATCCCTTCACCAGTGTACATTTCTCGCCACCGATGTCCCCAGTAACTGTCCCGCCACCCACCTCCCTCACCCCCACAGCCTGCCTCTATTGCAGGCACTTTTCTCCCTCTCTTCCACCCCCATCTCCCCCACCCCTGAGGTTTTAGTCTTTTGTTTTGGGGCCACACCCAGTGATGTTCAGCGGTCACTTCTAGCTCTGCAGTCAGGAATTAATCCTGGCAGTCTCCAGGGATAATATGGGATGCCGGGTATTGAACCCGGGTTGGGTGTGTGCCAGGCAAACGCCCTCCCCACTGTTCTATCTCTCCAGCCCCATCTCGCTACAAGTTTTGAATTCCATGTGTGGCTCTCTCTGCAGGCGCATGGTCCCTGATGTAGGCGCTTGCTTAGAATCAGGAATCACCCTGCTCAGGAAAAGAAATGAGGTCAGCAGCAGCCGCTTTCCATGCTCTGCTAGTTGACTCTGCTAGTTGACGTCAACACTGAAATTGCTACACGTTAAACCACGTTCAAGTGTGAGCCACCACTGGTGTGCACTCGCATCAGCACGTGGAGGCCCCTCCGGCGCCCTAGACCTGTTCACTCTCTAAAGCCCAAGGCCGGGACCCAAGCACCCTATGCTCCAGGCTCAGCCTTACCTGTGTCAAGCCCTCTCCCTCTCCAGAACCAGGGAAAAGACAGCAGGGGGAACACCAGTGACCATACCGAGACCATACAGGATGCCGGGAATCGAACCTAGGTCAGCCACATGCCAGGCAAACACCCAGCCGCTGTGCTATCTCTCCGGCCCGCCTTCTGCCTCTCTTCCAGCACTCAGTACAGTGAGTGCCGTTGTTTGCCCAGGTGCCCAGAGGTCAAGGCAAGGATCGTGTCTCACTCTTCTCCTGGAGGCAGCGTTGGCCCAGGACACTCACTTGGTGAAAGATTAGTTGAGTGCAAGTTGGCATGTTGAGAATCCAGTTAGAAGCTTTCCTTGCATTTTTCCTTCGCCCAGCAGCATGCTCTCTCTCAATCCTCCCCCCGCCCCCACCTTGAAGAGCAAGCCCACCACTCCTTGAGATGTGTTAGTCCTTGGCCCTGAGAGATCTGGAGGAAGAGGGAGGTTCCTGTTAGGTTTCTTCTGATACTGTGACCAAATCCACTCTTGTCGGAGATGGGGGCTTTCTCAGTCATGTCGTCGCCTCAAGCCGCCCCCTGGCCTCACCCCACCGAGGCAGTTGTGCGCGCCCATTGCTTTGCAGCCATGTCCCTCGTCCTTCCCCAGTGCTCATGCAGCCTGTCCTTGCAGGGGTTTTGCCCTCCCACAGCCGACACAGCAGCCCCTCGGGGCACCTCACCCACAGCCGCAGCAGCAGCAAAGGCAGCGTGGAGGAGATCATGTCCCAGCCCAAGCAGAAGGAGCTGGTGGGCAGCGTGCGGCAAAAGATGCTTCTGGACTACAGCGTGTACATGGCCAGGTGCATCCCCCAGGAGAGCCGGAGCCCCCAGCGGAGCCCCGTGCAGAGTGCGGAGAGCAGCCCCACGGCCGGGAAAAAGGTAAAGCTAGACCACGCGGGCCGCAGTGTCTCTGCCCTCCTGTCTTCTTCACACCGGCCACTTAGGGCACCTCCTGTGCATGAGGCCTATGCTAGGGACCAGTGATGGACAGGCCAGGTGAGGGCCCGCCCACCCACAGGGAGCTTGTGCTCCAGCCGAGGAGACGAGGAGACGGTGTCAGCTGGAGACAGAACAGAGGGAAGAGGAGCACAAAGCATGGGAAGGGCTAGGTGGTGGCCAGGGAGGGCCTCTCGAGAGCTGATCTCTGACACAGACCTGAGCTGTGTTGCTTTGGAGGGGCCAGGTGCTTTCCTGGGAGGGAGGGGCAGCCAGCAGCAATGATTCAGGGGGGCTGAGAGGAGGCCCACAGGAGGGACAGTGAGCAAGGACAGGAAGTCATCCCCCCACCCCCCACCCCAGCCCATTCCTTTGGATTTGGTGAGAATAAGGAAACCAGAGAGCCAGAATTGTGGGGGCAGAGAGGCCTTTCTAGAAAGAGGATACTTTGAAGAAAGTGCCTCAGTTTGGTGCCCCCGGTCCACCTGGCCTGCGGGAGCACGTGCTTCAGGGACCTAGGACTCTGTGACAGTAAGGCCAGCCGTCCACCAGAACACTCGTGAACTGTCCCACTTACCGGGAGCTTCGTGTTGAATGCCAAAGACCCTCAGAGCTTCAGGGGAGACTCACCCTGCCTTGGGCACAGGCGCTCCAGGCTTTTTTTTTTTTTTAGAAAGTCCCCTTTGCCCTGTGTGGCTGAGCAGAGGGTCCCACTTCCCCCTCAGCACCACTGTCACCAGAGTCTGCACTGAGCCTCAGCCTGGGGCAGGCAGGAAACTCGTCCCAGCGCCTGCCGGGACCCAGCCAGCTGTTTAGCTGCCATGCAGCCCTTGCTCTTTCTTTGTTCACAGTGAGTCTGGGGAGATGCCTCCAGTAGAGAAAGGAGCACTTAAAGTAAAGGCTGGCTGCATGTCAGTTATTTTAAAAGGTGTTTCCAAATCCAAGCCTTTGGCTTGGACATAAATTATGAAATACTGTTTGTTCCTTGGCCCTTGTGTGCTGAACCTGTTTCCTGTGAATAAGGTTTCTTTTCACCCACTTGAGAAGAGAAAGAATAACTTGTTCTTTTCCCTTTTTCGTTTTTTTTCCCTTTTTCACTTTTTTTGGGCCACACCTGGTGGTGCTCGGGGCTTACTCCTGTCTGTGCACTCAGGGGTCACTCCTTGTGGGCTCAGGAGACCATATGGGATGCCAGGCATCAGATCTAGGTTGGTCACATGCAAAGCAAACACCCTACCCGCTGTACTGTTTCCCTGGCCCTAACCTATTCTTTTGGGTTTTCTTTTTTTGTTTGCTTATTTGGTTTGGGGTCACACCCAGAGGTTCTCAAGGCTTCTCCCAGTTCAGAGCCCTGGGGTCACTGCAGTACCCCGGCTGGGAACTGCAGCTTCTGTTTGCAGAGCCTGTGCTCAGCCCATTGGGCATCTCCCCAGCCCTAACCTCTTCTTTGTAACTGTCAAGCTCCGTAGGCTGTGCCGTGCCTTTACCTAGTGAGGGTGGCTCAGAAGTCTGCATCAATGACCGGACATGTCTCAGAGACCGAGCTCAGAAAGGCGAGAGAGGGGGCCACTGTGCCCACAGGGAGAAAGTTATTCCAAAACTCCTGTTGGTGGCATATTTATGTGCTCACGGGTCTCAGACTTGGCACTTCCATCCAGTCCCTGGTGGCCATGGGAAGGGTTAACAGGAAGCCACATTCCACCTCCAAAGAGCCCAGTGGGAATCCACGTCTTATGTGATGGACTGGCTGATGGAATCGGGTTTAAACCAGGATCACATTTTCTAAATAAATGTGTGCGTGTGTGCAAGCACATGGGTGGCATGGTGCTGACGATCGAGTCCACCCTCGCCCCCAGGCTCAGATTTTTTTTTTAAATAAAACTCGCCAACATTCCTAAGGGAAAAATTCTAAAAATAGCAAGATTTCAAAGACTCTGGAATCCCAAATAACTTGCCCTTATATGAGATTGGGAAAAGACCTGAGAGGTGGGGGGGGAGGGGCAGCTCTGAGAATGGGAGCAGGGGGCCAAGGCAGCCAGCTCACCCCTGCACAAGTTCAGCACCAGTTCCCCTGGTCACACCCTTGGAACACGGTGCCCAGCAGTCACACTTTTTTAGTTGGGGGCTGCGGGATACTCCCGGCCACCGGGCAGGCGTGGCACTGTCTCGGCTGCCCACATCACTGGCCTGGGCACACTGACAGTGGCGGGACTTGGGCCTCTGCCCAAGCCGGCAGGGCCGGGGAAGGGTGAGTTGTACCCAGATCGGGTCTCAGTGTCTTGGCACCACTGCCTGTGAGCCGGTAGTGATCCGAGAGCCAGCTCGGGGACTGCCTGGGACATAGTGCGCTCTCCTTGCCCCCAGGGCCACAGTAAGATGCCAGTGAGGAAAGCCAAGTGTTGCCTCTTTTAAGGATCTCCCCTGCTCCAGAGATGTGATTTTGAGTGTCATCAGGGCAGTGCCCGTGGCACTGTGGGACCATGAAGTGCTGGGGACTGAGTCAGGGCCTCTGCTCCAGCCCTCACAGGGATTCTTAGGGGACGAGTGGGCTCAGTGTTACTCAGGGTGACATCACAAGATGACCACATGTTACCCACACCAACTGTGACTTTCAGGGCTCTCTCCCCTCCCCTCCCCTCCCCTCTCCTCTCCTCCTCTTCCCTCTTCTCCCTTCCTTTCCCCTCTCCTCCATTTCCTTCCCCTGTCCCCCCCTCCCCTTCCCTCGCCTCCCTGCCTCTCTTCCTTCCCCTTCCCTCCTCTCTTCCCCCTCCCCTTCCCTCTCCTCCCTTCCTTCCCTTCTCCTCCCCTCTCCTCCCCTTTTCTCCCCTTCCCGCCTCTCTTCTCCCCTTCCCTCCCCTCTCCTCTGCACTTCGTGATGGACCCTGCAGTTCGGTTTTTTGTTTTTTGTTTTTTTTGGGTCACACCTGGTGATGCACAGGGATTACTCCTGGCTCTGCACTCAGGAATTACCCCTGGTGGTGCTCAGGGGACCATATGGGATGCTGGGAATCGAACCCAGTTCAGCCGCATGCAAGGCAAACGCCCTACCGGCTGTGCTATTGCTCTAAGTTCAGGAATCACTCCTGACAGGGCTCAGGGAACCATATGGGTTCTGGGGATCAAAGCAGGATCAGCCTTGTGCAATGCAAGTGCCTTCCCCACTGTACTATTGCTCCAGCCCTGTTCCAGGCCTCGGTAGCTTTATTCCGACCCTGGTCCTCTCCAGGCCAGGGTCCAGCCTAGCTCTTGGAATGGTTACCTGGAAATTGGAGGCTAGCTGGACTCTCCCAGCTCAGCCGTGGGCCAGGACAGGAGTTATGTGCACAGTGTGACCAGCTGTGACCAGGGCAGTTGATGGGGCTCCGACTAGAGAGAAGTCAGAGGGGTCTCACCCGACTCCACAGGGCTCACACTGGGGTGTGGCCTCCACCTCGCCGCAGTGTGAGACAGCAGGGTTTGTGGAGGCATGTGGTGCCTGGGCATCAGAATACTCAGCCTGCCTGGTGAGGGCAGGGTGCACAGCACATAGCTAGGGCACCAGAGCTGAGGACGGATAGTAGAGGAATCGGGGTGCAGAATGTTGATACTAAACTCATTTGGGGGCAGGGCAATTTGGTTGAGCTAATTATATGGAATGTTAGCTGATTCACAGAGGTTTAGTGGAAGAAAGAAAACGGATGGGAGTTTCTATCTGTGATGGTGGCTTTTGTTCCTCTACTCGGCTTGGGGGACTTGTAATTTATTGTACTTTACAGGAAAGACACAGAGCCACGTGGCCGCTATGAGTAACTTTCAGAAAATAAGCACCTGTCATGTTTCAGTTGCTTTCCAGCTAATTTTGGTGCCTCTGCTTTTGCCAGTTGCCAGAGGCACCCCCCTTGGAGGAGGAAGAGCAGGAAGCCTGGGTGAACGCCTTGCTCGGAAGGATGTTTTGGGACTTCTTAGGAGAGAAGTACTGGTCTGATCTGGTGTCTAAGAAGATCCAAATGAAACTCAGCAAAATAAAGGTATTGTTTTCCACATTTGAGGATTTTCACTGTCCACATTTATTCATTTCTGAATGTTTGGTACCATATTTTATCTGAGGGCAAAATAAAATGAATAGTTTTGAACCAGAGAGATAATACAGTGGGTAGGGCACTTGCCTGGTACACGACTGACCTGGATTGGTTCCCCAGCACTGCCAGGAGTGATCTCTGTACATCAAGCCAGAAGTCAGCCCTGAGGAGAGCCCAATGTGGCACAAAAAGCCAGAAAAGAAATTAAAAAGAATAGTTTAAAGTAGAGGCACCAAACTTATTAGGCATACCACCCCTTTTGGGGGGAAAAACAAAAGAAGACTTCATTTATTCCTAAAAATCTCTTTTCTTTCTTTTTTTTTTTTTTGTTTGTTTTGCTTTTGGGGGGAGGGGTCACACCCAGTGATGTACAAGGGTTACTCCTGGCTCTGCACTCAGGAATTACTCCTGGTGGTGCTCAGAGGACCATATGGGATGCTGGGAATCGAACCCGGGTTGGCCATGTGCAAGGCAAACGCCCTACCTGCTGTGCTATCACTCGAGCTCCAGAAAATCTTTTTTCTTTCACTGAAGAAACAGAACGTGCTCCCGCTTATACCCAACAGTACCAGTACTCCCCTGGGGTGGGGTGGGATTGCCCACCAAGGGAAACAGTCTGAAGCACCTGGCATAAGAGGAGCAGTTCTCATCCGACAGCCTGTGTGAGCAGTGACATTGGCCATGAGACAAGGGCATGTGGGATCAGAGCCCTTCCCGCTCGGCCTGGTGAGCTGCTCTGTGGTCACCAGACTGGGAAGCTTTGCCGCCCCGTCTGCCAGAAAGCAGCTCGCCAGGCCCTCTGCCCATCCCCAGCACGCGGCAGATGTCCCTTCTGGTTGAAACTGCGTGGACGCCTCCCTGAGTGCCGCCTGCTCTGGCTGTGGGAGTCCAGCCTAGGGGAAGACTCTGGTTCCACACCCTTGGGACAGGGTGCTCGCCAGTGGGTCTCCCAGGGAATTGATACCTTAGAGAAGCAGAACCCTGGGCCCCATCTCTAGAAAAGTGCAGTAGCACAGAATTTTGCCCATGACATCAGAGAAGTCAGGGACTCCAGGCTAGGAAACAGAGAACTTCTTGGTACTAGGGTCACAGAAGCTGCTGTCATTATTTTTTTGTGCCATGCTCAGGGTTACTCCTGGTGGTGCTCATCTGAGATGTCAGGGATTGAACCTGGGCTGATGCATGCAAAGCAAACACCTTACCCACTGTACATCACTCCAGCCCCTATTCTTTTACTAGTTTTTTGCTTTTGGGTCGCACCCAATAGTACTCAGGACTCACTACTGGCTCTGCCCTCAGAGATCACTCCTGGCAGGGCTCAGGGGACCATATGGGGTGCCAGGGATTGAACCTAGGTTGGTAACATGCAAGGCAAATGCCCTACCTGCTGTACTATGGCTTTAGCCCAAAAGTTCCTGTGATTATTACAACCTATAAAGTCAGCACCCGCCAGCCCAAGAATGCCCCAGTGGGTTTACAGATGTGGGTGGAGTAAGGTTACTGGAGCCCTGAGTCAGGGCCGCCCTGTGGGGAGGGAGAAGAGAGACCCTGAATCCTCCAGCTGGGCAGGGAGCTGCTCTAGGCCTGCTATTCGGACTCTGGCTTGGACTGTGACCGGAAAGCTGAACACTGGGGGTACTGAGGGGCATATGGGGCACTCCTTAGCGGGAAGCTGGAGTTAGAGTTGGTCAGACAGGCCCTTCATCCCCATCTGGTCACTGGCAGTCGATCCCCTACCTTTGGGGCCTTTGTCAGTCCCACCCCCTCCTTCAGGGTCTGTGTGGACACGAAATTTGAGGGGTGGAGACATTCCCCAGGAGGAACCGGATGTTGCTGCTGCCTCTCTCTCCGCACTTATGCAGTGCAGTGTATGTCACGTTCCCCTAGAAACCACCTGCTCTGAACACACTGGGTGTTGGAGCAACAGAGCTAGAACGCCTTTGAAGAAAACCCCAGGTCTGGGGACATTCTTAACCAAGGGCAAGGCTCGGGGGCCATGGGTGCTTTGGAAAAGGGGTGCCATATAGGGCACCCACCACTGCAGAAGCACGTCAGAGCACTCCTCTGCCCTGCTTTCCCATGACATCCCAGTGGTGCTTAAAAGCCCGAGATGATGGGGCTGGGGTGAGAGCTTGGAGGACAAGAGCACTTGTTTGGCTCGCAGGAACTCCAGATTCAATCCCTAGTACCACCCCCAGCACCACCAGGTGTGCCGCACACACCCTGGCACCCCCCTGCTCCTAATGTCTGATGCGAGTCCTAAAACCTGTGAATTTCTCTACAGAGAGAACTGAGGCGGGCACTAAAGCCAGGCCTGGCTGCATGCCATCTCGCACTAATGGAAATGCTGAGCTAAATCTTCCACGATTTTATATTGAACTGGGAAATATTCATGAGATAAGAAAATTCTGGGGGAGGAGAGCAGAGAGGGATTTGCCAAGTTTATATTATGGCAACATATATATGTGTGTATATATATATAACATATATATACACATTATATATAGTTTTTAAAAAAATTTTTTAACATGTTGATGCCAGTACTTCAATTTGTGTTCCTACACTCAAGTGTAAGCCCTGGTGGTACGTGCCGGCACGGGTGTGGATGTGTTAAAGAGTGGGAGCCGGAGAGACTGCTGCGGGCACTAAAGAGCACTTGTTTGGCTCGCAGGAACTCCAGATTCAATCCCTAGTACCACCCCCAGCACCACCAGGTGTGCTGCACACACCCTGGCACCCCCCTGCTCCTAATGTCTGATGTCCTAAAACCTGTGAATTTCTGAGGGCGGGTGGGCGGGCACCTGTGCCTCCAGGACCCTGGCTGCCCTGTCACCCCTTTAGCTGGTCTGAGCTCCATAACCCCCAGCACCAGGGTTGCCCAAAAACCAAAGAACTTGTTTTGTCGTGTGAAATAAAAGACATATTTTAAGGGCTAGGGAGATGTCCGAGAGGTAGAGCATGTGCAAGGCCCTGAGTTTGATCCTTAGAGCCATAGGCCTCCCCAGTGAAACCTTCCAACACCACACTGCACAGATGAGTTCAGATGAGTTCATGCTCATCCCTTTTCCCTGGGGAACGTGGGAATCGCTGAGCCTTGTAGGAGTACGTTTACGGACCAGGAAGATGCCCGCAGGTGACACAGGACTGTGCATCAGGGGAGAGCGGACAGCAGGAGCGACAGTGGGGGGGATCCAAGGGGCATGACAGTTTTCAAGGGCTTCAACACATGTTGTGAGTTTGCCACTCGGGAATGTAGCGGTGTTTTAGCTCCCACAGTTGGCCTGCAGGGTGCTGCACTCCTGACCCACAGTGCTCAGCAGAGGCAGACCTAGGCCCGATGCCTTCACCCAGCCTGCTGGACCCCAGAGCCCACGCTTCCACCGCCCGCCCCTCACCTCATTTCCTCCAGCACGAGCACTCAGAAGCTGTGTTTATTTGTCTGCTTGTCTGTGCTTCTCCCTCTGTGACCCAAGGCCTCGCCCGCGCCCCTGAGGCTGTGCTCTGCGCTCTGTGGTAGGTGTCTGACAGATGTTGGTGCAGTAAACCTGTCTGTCCCCAGACCCGGAGCGTCCCTCCCTCGGAGGATCTGCAGCATCAGAAGGATGTGCTGACGTCCCCTTTGTTCTCCTCTCTAGCTTCCGTACTTTATGAACGAGCTCACACTGACAGAACTTGACATGGGAGTAGCTGTGCCAAAAATCCTACAGGCCTTCAAGCCCTACGTGGATCACCGAGGTAATTCTTAGCTGATTCGAACAAGGACCTGGCGGCCCGGAGGAGCTCCGCACGGCTCCCCGATGCAGACTGGGCCCCGGGGCTTTGGACTGGGAAGGAAGGTGGGTCAGGTTATGTGCCATGTTCTCAGCAGTTACCTTCTTCCACTGACAGGACTGCATCTGGGCTTGCCCTCCTGTCCTCGGCGTTTCCCAGACCCCCGGGGCTGGGTCATCTCCAGCTCACGGTACCCACATGCCCATTGGTGGGGCCTGGGTTTGGGTGCAGGTTAGAGGCCAGCCCCTGCTCTAGAGACTCTCCTCCCTGTCGGGGGTCTCTGCTCCCACCCTGTGCTCTCCCCAGGATCCCCTCTCCTGGCTCTCCCCCACCCCCTGTGCTTTGCATCTTTATGTTCCTCACCACCCTTAGGAGCCACTGAGTAAGTGAAAAACGGCCTACAGTGTCGGGGCCCTGGCTGAGAAACAGTTGCTGAAGGAAAGTTCCCAAATTTGATTCTTAAGACTTGATGCTGACCCAGTATTTATACCTACTCTTGTAAGAGCAGGAGTTAATTAAATTGTGTGAGATCTTAAATACAATTATCACAGAACAGATTCATGTGTTATTTTGTGGCACATGGTCTTAAAAGAACTTTGATGGAGAATTTAAAACACGGGAGCTTAAAGCAAGGGCAGAGTGAGGGACTGCAAGATAGCACAGCGGGTAGGGTGCTCGCCTTGCACTCAGCCCACCTGGGCTCGACTCCCAGCACCCTGTCTGGTCCCCCGAGCCCTGCCAGGAGTGATCCCCGAGCACAGAGTCAGGAGTAGCTTTGAGCACCACCTGCTGTGGCCCTGAAGCAAGTCAGCAGGAGGAACGAGCGGTCAGCGGCCACGCGGGCAGGCAGATGCCGTCCTGCTGTGCACATGCCCGGCTGCTTCTCTGCAGATAAGCCTCTTCCACTTCTCCCGCCAGGCACCAGGTCCCCCCCCAAGGCTCTGGGAGCTGGGAGCAGAGGAAATAATCACAGCCCTTCAGGAGGCTGCGATGTGTTTTGAGTCAGTGCTTTGTGAAAGCGAGAGATGAGAACATCTCCTTTTGTCTCCGTGTGTCTGTATCAGATGGCTTTTGAATCATATTTACTGAAATCACTTTGTGTTGTCTCCATTTGATATAAATACAAAGAGTTGTTTTCCTCTCAATACAATCAACACTGTCAAAGTGTCTAGCAGTATTTCAACTGACAGTGAGCCCTTTTCTCCATGTTTTTAGCAGCATGTTGGTTTCAGACAAAGGTGGACCAGAGTTTTAATTGCAGATCCAGAAGTGAGATCACCTGTGGCCATTTACTAACTGCAGAAAGCCTGAGAGCCAGTGGGTTCGCTGAGTTTTGGGGTAAAACTCCAAGAGTAAAACTAGAAATTATTTTTTATATAATCTGAGTATTTTAATAGGATGTGAAATTCTTAAAAATAGTTTTTTTTTATTGGCAGGGCTGGAGCATCGGTACAGCGGGTAGGAGCTTGTGTTGCATGGGGTCTACTCCCGTTCGATCCCTGGCACCCCAGATGGCTCCCCTGCACTGCCAGGAGTGATCCCTGGGCACTGTCCAGTGTGGCCCAACCGCCCCCCACCACCACCAATTTAAATCATCATAGTTTTAGAGATATGGTTACAGTTGTTTCTAGTGTTGATTTACAAAGCTAGTGCAGCCCACCCCCCCACCCCCACCTCTACCAAAGTGCCCACAACCCTCCACCATCGTAGTTTTCTGATTCTTGTTTTTATTCTGGGGCCACATCCAGTGGGGCTCAGGACTGACTACTAGCTCTGAGCTCATGGATTACTCTTGGCAGCTCAGGGGACCATATGGGATTTTGCAGATTGAACGCAGGCTGGCCGCAGGCAATGCAAGCATCCTACCCACTACACTGTCCTTCCAGCCCCCACTCCATCACTGTCCTTATGTCACCTCTGGTCTGATCTTCACTCCACCGCCCCAGCTTTCCCCCACTGTTTGCTAGTCAGTTTTGTAATCCAAGGTTGAGGTATGTCATTGTTGGGTATTGTCTAGTCCCTTGTTTCGTCTCCATATTCCACAGGCTGAGTAAGATCACTTGTTACTTCTCCCTCTGACTTACTTCACATGATATCCACGTGACATTTTTAAAAGATGGGTTATCTGTGTTTCAAGAGCTGAGATCTCCCTGACACCCCAGCCTCCGCCTCCAACATTTCAGGCCCCCAGTGGGCTCTGGATTACGCTTTGCTCTCTGCCTCTTTAGGAATTGACCTGTAACCAGCCCGTATCTGATCAGGGAACACAAACCTCCTGAGCGTGGAGCTGAGAGAGTAACTAAGGTGGGTGTGTGTGGTGTTTCCGGCTGCCCCTGCAGCCTCTCTCTCAGCTGTGTCCTCTGGAGTCAGTCAGAGTCTCCGGTGAGGGGAGCAGCCCCCCAGCAGGGTCTGTGCCTTTGAACCCTGCAGCCCCGCCGGCAGCTCTGGGCAGGCTGTGAGGGAAAGCCACAGACTGATGCCTGAGTCTGTCCTGGTCTCCGCGGCAGCTGCAGCCAGACATTTCACTCCCTAGATCAAAGCTGTGGCCTGTTTTTAATCCTGTGGGGGCTTACTTAACTCCTCTCAGAGCACGCTGTGAAGCGCTCTCTGCTTATGTAACAGGGCAGAAAATGGCACTAAAGAAAGGAAGACTAAAGACCATGTCTGTGGGTTCTAAACGTTTGATTGAATTAGGTTCGCCCGAGTCTGCAAAAGGTGCACGTGATGGTGGAGCAGACGTGGAGATGGGGGAGGTGGGTCCCGGGTTCTGTTGCTCTGAGGGAAACCCTTCATGTGGACAAACCAGGGCTGCCTTGCAGAGGCAAGTGCAGTGAGGCCTTGCACTCTGAGAGAGGCACCTCCCACAGGACCCTCTCACTTCCCAAGCAGAGGCCAGGGGAGCAGGGGGCCATTTTAGCCATATGCAGAGACTGTGTGATGCCAGGGATAGGACTGGGGTCCCTGGGTACAGTACAGCAGGCAGGGTGTTGGCCTGGCACATGGCTGACCCAGGTTCGATTCCCGGCACCCCATATGGTCCTCCAGATACCACCAGGAGTGATTCCTGAGCGCACAGCCAGGAGTAACCTCTTAGCTTCACCAGGCGTAGCACACACACACACACACACACACACACACACACACACACACACACACACAAAGAACGAACTAGGGTCACTGTGCCCGCCAGGCCCATGCCTGACCCGAGTGGCAGCTTCAGAGCTAGGTGGCCACTCCTTCCCCTGACCCTGTCTTCTCTCCAGTGGGGCCCCTGGGAGGAGAGAACTGAGGGTATTAAACGGTGAGCTTCATTTGAAGGGGCGGTTGGAATTGCTCCTGCAGGGCTCAGCATGGGTGCTCACAGCCTACTGATCTGGCCCTTAGCATGTAGCCTGGAGCCCTACCAGATAAACACAGAGAAAAGCTGCTCAGCCCTCAGCTATGCCCCCACTAAGAGCAAAACCCCCTTTCTCTGCAGGGAGCGTGCAGGGGCTGCCTGCCTGCACCCTATTCCCAGGCCCACATGTCAGGAGAGGGGAAGGGCCAGCGCTAGGGGTCAGGAGAGGATGTGTCCCCTGAAACTGCTCTCATCACCTCTGCACATGTCCTTGCCAGGGGCTGTAGGGCCCCCCATCCCATCACTGCCACCCTTCATCACCCTCGCCCTCCCAGCTCTGTTCCGGGCAGTCCTCTGGGGTGCAGCCACACCTCTCAGCTGCTCCCATGTTTTACTCACTGGGGGCGGGGAGGACACTCTACCCAGCAGTGCTTAGGAGCTGCTCCTGGCCCTGTGCCCTCAGGTCGCTCCTGGCAGTGTTGGGGGGGGCCCTGCAGTGCTGGAACCGAGCCAGGACCGTCTGTGTGCCAACCTTGAACCCCTGTACTTACTCACTTGCTACCAGTGGTTCCAACCCTGTTAGGGCAGGGTTTGCTCTTGCATCCACTCAGCGTGTTCTTCAGATGGAGAAAGGTGGATATTCAGGAAGGAAAGCCTGGCCTATCGACCCACTGTTCAGAAACAGCGGTGTCACTGTTTGGAGACATCTTTGATATGTTCTTACCTTTTTCCTCTTATGGATGAAAATCCATTCCGAGTGTGAAGGCCACTCTCCAGCCCTGAGAGAAGGCAAGAGCAGCCAAGATGTGCCTTCAGCGGGCTTGAGCACCCATGTGGGGCTCTGTGGGAGCCCATCGCTGGTTGCCACAGCGGGGCCTGTGGGGAACAGGTCTTGGGCCCCATTCGTGGTATCTAATGATGTCAGAGATTCACTGTAGGCACCAGTTCTTCTCCAAAGCCGTGGTAATACCCCATGACCCCATGGCTCTCCATATCCACGTGGTGCCGATGGTACTCACAGCTCCCAGGTCTGTGGCTCAGGGGAAGGCTCTAGGAGCACTCATGGCCCTTCCGTGTTGGCTGCTCTAACACATGTCTGTCAGTGACAGTTTCCTGCAGTAGCGTGGTTAGGGAACCAGTTCTTCTGGCCAACCTGTCATCTCCCACATCTTGTCCTGTGGGCATGTTGTCAGGGTCATGATGAGGCAGAAGCGGGACCGTGATCCCACAGAGTCCCATTCAGCTTCTGAGGCTTCGGGACGCAGAGCCCAGAGGACCCTGGGCGGCCCATATTGAGAGGGAGCTCAAGGGAGCCCCAGGAACTGCCCATCTTTCAGCGGTAGGTTGGGCTCTGTGGCTGCATTACCCCATTTCACGGGACTGGAGCCTTGTCTGTCTGAGATGCTCTTAGACGTGTCTGGTAGCCCTGACCGTCCACCATACCCCCTTCAGACCTTGACCTCTGGTGCCTGGTGTGGCACTGGAGTGGCCTTGCCAGCCTCAGTCACTGCTCACCCATGGCAGGCTTTCAGAAGGCTGCTGCCTATGGTGGCAACCACAAGGTTGGCTGCTAACAGGAGTACCACACAACACTCTCCCGCAGGGAGCGTCACAGAGACAAGACATCCGTGTGGGATGAAAATTGGGATGAAAGAGAGGGGAATTAGACTGGTGTCTGTGTCAGACAACAATGCAGTAGAGCTCATTTCGCCTGTCCTAAGAGATCAGCACAAAAGACTGCAGTTTCCTCGGTGTCTGCGAGAGCAGTCAGCAGCTGTGCACTTGCCAGGAGCAAAGCAGTTGCCCATATGTTCCGCAGAGCCAGATTCCCCACATGTCTTGTTCCCCTTAACCTGTGGCTCAGTGTTCCATTATCAGAAATTATGTTCTTGGGATGCTGAGTGTGAACTGTGAGAGTGAAACTCACCCATTAATAGTTAGAGGTAAAGGGATAGAGGGACAGGTAAGACGCAGCTCACACCAGGACTCGGGACTTTGGTGCCCTGCACTCCTGATGGGCACAGCCGTCCTGTGTCCCGTTCCTGCAATCCAGAGGCACTTTGGATTCTCGGACCTGGAACAAGACAGTGAAATGACAGTACCTGCATGGCCCTGCAGGGCTGTGTCTGAGACCAGGGGCCTGTTACAGAGAATGCAGGGACATGGCTGAGCCGCCACCTGCGGGTCTCTGCCCCACTCGCCAGGACAGGGCGGTCAGTCCACCTTTGCTCTTGCCGATGCATCACCTTCTTCAGGGGCAGGGCTTTCCTCAGCTCTGAGAGCTGCCTCCTGCCCCCCTGAATGCTGCAAAGCAGACCCACAGATGTTCAGGCTCCTCACACGGCCTTGAGTCTGCCACACTGTTGGCCGTGATGTTTCCAGTTTTGTAGGAAGAAGGGCTGGTTTTCCTGGAACGCGGCGGGCAGCAGGTGCAGCGTCCTTCACCGTGGCTTCCTCTCCACAGCATGGGGACCACCATCCCACCCCGTGTGGAGACCTTGTTAGCAACTAACTGTCCTCCACCCACCCCAACCATGCGTGGAAGCCCTACCCTGCCATGTATGTTATTTGGAGGTCAGGAGGTCGGGGGGAGCTGACTCATGATGGGGTTATAAGCTGAGGCCACTACTCCCTGCCTTTGGCTCTGCCTGTGAGGACCCAGATCCTGCTCCTTGTCTTGGGTGCCCCATCTTCCAGAACCTTCCAGAACTAGCTGGGGGGGGGGGGGTAAGTCCCCAGGGCACAGCGTTGGTTCCAGTGACCCCTACCCAGGAAGGGAGCATTTGATTGTGCTTATGTCCTCCATGGAGACTCTCCTACGATTGCCTTCCTGCCTGCCTCACTCCTGCTCTCCAGCTCTGGTGGTTTCTCCTTGAGCAGATGGTTAAAGGGGCCTTTTATTTCAGTTTAGTATTTTGTGTATATGGTGCCACGGATCGAACTGGGATCTCACACCTGCAAGGCAGGAGCTCTGCCACTGCACCGCAGCCCCGGCCCCAAGCAGTGCTTTTAGTGAAACACCCTCAGTCAGTGAGGTCTTAAGTTTTGTCAAGAGTAAGAGGTCTCTCATGGACCAGTTCCTCTTCACATCGATGCTCAGGCTCCTCTAGTGGGAGAACACCTTCCCCATGGCATTCAGTCCCTCACTCCACCTCAGTGGCCGCCTCCCATTCCCCCTTACATAAGAAGGTTGTGCAGGCTGTATTCTCTGAAGCTCTCGGGACACTGGCCTGCTGACTCATCCGCATGGAAGCAGGTTTCTCTTTGCACCTGATGCTAAAATAGTCTCCATTCTCTCATTCTCTCTCTCTCTCTCTCTCTCTCTCTCTCTCTCTCTCTCTCTCTCTCTCTCTCCACATCATTTTAATTTGTTGGCATATTTACAGTTTATATCTGTTTTTAAAAACTCTCAAGCCAGGGTACCAAGATTGGATCCCAAAAATGCCTCAAGTGTGCTGCCTCATGCTGCCCACTTGGCAAGCTGGGTCCCCTTTCCAGGTTAGGGGCAGCACCACAGCCAGTTGTTGATGCAATCCCCGTCATCCCAGCAGCAACAGGAGAGCAACATGTGGGGGAGGGAAGTTCGGTTTTTCTGTTTCTTGTTTTTAAATTCTCAAACCCTTGCTGACTCTTCTTATTTTCCACTGACATCCAGGGCTGAGCAAGGCATGAAGGTCTCAAGGGGCTCTATGATATACAGTAGCCATTATAGACACAGTATATAAAAGCCTGATCCAGTCCCTGGGTGATGACTTGTCCTCTGTCCACTTCTCACAAAGAGACAGTGAGGAGAACGGAAGTCAGCAAGTGGGCAGGCCAGCTGTCTCAGCACCAGAACCCAAAGCCACCTCAAGGAAGCAGTAAGCAGTGCCTAGGAGGAGGCCAGTCCAGGGAAGTGGAGAAATGACCAGTGTAGCTCAAGCCCCCCTCCACAGGGCTGGGCTCCCGGCCTTTCCTTACCTGGTTGGGGCTTGGGGCCCCACAGCATTAAGAGACAGGCAGCCTGATGGGTGCGTGGGCCAGCATTAAAACTCCAGCACTGGGGCTGGAGCAGTAGCACAGAGGGTAGGGCAGCCGACCTGGGTTCAATTTCCAGCATCCCATATAGTCCCCTGAGCACCACCAGAAGTAATTCTTAAGTGCATGAGCCAGGAGTAACACCTATGCATCACCCCACATGACCCAAAAAGCAAAAAATATAAAAATAAGTAAATAAACCCCCAGCCCCGAGCTTCCACTTACAGGGACTGCAGTTCAGGCACCCTTAGGGTGACAGCCTTCTACTGTTCGTCTTTCTTGGACCCTAACTATGACCTTTTAGAAGAAATGTCTGTTTCTAAATTTACATTGCAACTAAGTTGAGTGTGTTGTTGAGTCTCAAAGCTGGAGATAGATAACAAACAATAAATAACCTTTATCGGTGTTCTATTTGTATGGAGTTTAAGTTCTATTAATATCTAGCCTCTTGACCTAATCTTCTCTCTCCCAGAAGTGATTAATGACTAAATGTCTTTACCAAAGCAGATGTGCCCTTTATTTCCAGTAAGCCTACCATTGAAGAGCAAGCTCGTAATGGTTTTTAACTGCTCATCGTAAGCAAGATATAAAACCATTTTGTAAGTGACCGAGTCTTGTGTTCCTTCATTAAAGCAGGTCATTCATAGAAAAGAATCCCCTTCCATCATGATCGAGAGAAAGCGTTGAAAGCAAAACGGAAAGTGTCCTGCTTTCAGTGGGGAATCACACCGATTCACGCTTCTGGGGATTAAGCAGAGCTTTTATCTGATGGTAGCCAAATGGGGGCTGAGTTAGTTACTGTAATTGCTCACAAATACTGCTGTGTGGAACAGCAGTTTTAGATTAATTTCCTGCTTACTTGTAGGTGTTGGCATTTATCTCAGGAGGATCTGCACGAGTTTATTAACATTTAAAAACCCACTCGAAGGATCGCGCTTCTGACTGTCCGAGTCAGTCAGCAGCCCAGAACCTGCCCTCCCTGGGAACCCTCGGCACTTCATTCAGAGGCTGAAAGTGGGTCCCTTTGCATTTCCATCTGTCAGGCCCTAACACCTCTGTGCTTGGCCTTGCCTGTGAAAGTCTGTTTTGCTAAAAGCCTCTTCAATTAGATCTTGATGACTCCATCTTTTCCTAAGGAACATGTTTTTGAACTCATGTACAAAGGCTTCCTGACTCTCTGGGACCAGGTGGTAACTTCTTTGTCTCTCTTACTAGACAGTTTCCAGTGAGAAACAGTTTAGAAGATTCACTGTCCTTATCTTACCAAACTAAGTCCAAACCACTTTTTTGTGCTGGACCATGCTTTGGTCTCCCCCAACCCCAGGAAGAATCTCTACCAAGAGGGGATCTTATGCATCTTTAGAGAACAGCCACACGTGGGTTCCCCTGCTGGCTGAGAGGCCCCAGGGTGGACCTCGCGCCCTTGAGCTGAGCACCAGCTCCCTGCCACCATCTTAAGGTATTTTGAAATGCTGACAATTTGCCACAGCTTGAACTGCCGCCTGTAGCTACTCTCACTCTCTCGTGTATAGACGTGTATTCGTAGACTTCCCTGGGGGATGCCTACTTAGGTAGACACTTATAAATATAGACTTTTATCCTGTCATATAGTTGTGTTTTTCTGGGAGGAAAAACAACCTTCTGTTTTTGTCACCATTTCTCCAGGACTCTGGATCGATTTGGAAATGTCCTACAATGGGTCCTTTCTGATGACTCTCGAGACCAAAATGAATTTGACCAAACTAGGTAAAGAGCCTCTTGTTGAAGTCCTGAAGGTTGGAGAAATTGGCAAAGAAGGGTAAGGGGCTATATGAATTTACTCTTCCCACCCTGGGGAACCGACCTCTCCCTCCTGCCTTTGGGAAGCAGGTTTGCGCTGTCCTGGCCCCAGATGTACACCAGGTGTCCATGTGACATGCTTCCGGATACGGGCAATGGGACCCAAGTTTCATCTCTCAGAGACCGGGAGTCACCCCTCTGCTCAGAGCCTCCAAGCTGCCTGCAAAGCGCACAGTATTGATTACACTTTGCAGCTCAGACCAGGCGGGCAGGCTCGATGCTCAGTAAACAGCTCTAGAAAAGGTCCCCCTCCTCCTCCTTGCACTGTGGGGCAGGCCAAGGTCCCCAGGGGGACTATCTGCTTTCATCGCAGACTCAGAATTATTTATAATTAGACAGCTGATTTGGGAGGCCAAGGGTATTCCTGAAGTCTTCTCCCCAAATGCTACCACATCGATTTGCTTAGTAAACTCCTCTCTTCGGAGAAAAGGCTGCATCTGCTGCCCAGAGTTTGTTGGAGTTGGTAGATCTTCCAGATTTGCAAACTGGTTGATGACACTTGCTCTTTTGGCCTAAAACGCTGAGAATGAGTCAGCTGGAAAATAGCAGCTTCTGACTACCCATTAAAATCGGGTTGATCGTACAAGCTACAAATGCTGGTTGGGTTGTGTTTCTCACATCTGTAGCCCGTTGGCATGAACTGACAGCCTGATGGCAAGAGAAGGCCCCAGAAGCCACCTTCTCAGGCTAAGTAGACACCTTGGAGCTATCCTGATAATGCCTCCACTCCATGTGGGGAAGGTGCAGGGTGGGGGATGCGTCACACCCTTGAGACTGTGCTTTTCGTAAATGATTTTTATTTGCACAGGTTGCTTAATGAAGTGACCCTCTTTTAATTATTGGAAACTTTGACCATCTGTATGCAATCTAACCTCTCTCTGTGCTGTTTTCCTTCCGTTTTTCTGCCCTTTGTTAAAATGTGTTTGGACTCGGCCCTGTGTGGATTGTCCTTGCTGGTGAGTGGTCATCAACTCTCCATGTGGCATTCCATACCCTGTGACTGCTGAGTCTTGCTGGTCCCATTGACATCACCGAACCGCTTGTTCTTCCATCTTGTTCCCAGACACAAAGACATAGTCCTTAGCCCAGTGAGGCTTGAGCACAGGGCATCGAGGAGGTGTGCCTGGCCAAGCAGCTTCCCAGCTTCCCGGTGTGAACTGCAGGGGCCCGAGGGGTCCTCTAGTGAGATTCCCCAGGCAAGAACCAGCTCCTCTACTTTAGAGGAGGGCAAAGCAGGGCCATGACTGGCCTGGGGTCCGAGGGGCACTATGGGATCAACCCAGTGCTGGCCAGTTTTAAGGACCTTTGGAAAGGGGCATCTTGGTAGCAAGTAGGACTCCTACCCCCACCCTCTGCAGTCTGTGTTCCTGGACTCGATACTGTGACTGAGCAGAGGCTGGAAGAATTCCTCAGCTCCAGGAACAGAGTGGAATTTTATTGATTTTGTAATACGCTTTCAGGGGCCATTTTTCCCCTGTAGGAACTGCTATGAAGTGTTTTGCCTTTTCCTTGGGGATGTTAAACTGGATGTCAATGTGGAAGTGACTGAACTTTAATTTTAAAAGCAAGGAAAAATACAGCCGCTAAGTGCTTCGTGTGGGAGGAAAGGACCTAGAAAAAAAGAATGGATCCTTCACCTTTTTTTGCATAAAAGATCCCTTTAGGGATTGGCAAGCTCCGAATCTTTCTCCCAGAAAAGGTACACGTGTACCTTGGGGCTTACAGTTTCTGGAGCCCCCGAGCCCCCTCCCCCAATCCCAGAAGTGCCCCTGGAATGCACTTGGCATCACCCTGAGTCGAAGAGCAGGGTGGAAAGAGGAGAGGGTGCCCGGAGCTACCCTCACGGAGGGCCCTTCCTGGGACCCTCTGGGAGGAGCGAGGGGGATGAGCCCATGATGGCAGCTTTTCCCTGGCCCTTCCTTCCCAGGGCTCCCTTCACACACTGCTGGTCCCCACCACTGGGACTCCCTGCTGCTTCTCAGTCCCCCCTGTAGAGGTAAATGACTGCTCCTCCCGAGAGACTCCCCAACCCCTTCTAGGGAGGCGTTTGTATGCCGTGTCTGGGTGGCTTCCCTCTACACCACGCCATGACTTGGCCTGGCACTGCAAATATTAGGACTGATTTCTCTTCAGTAAAAGAAAGCAGATATGTTCTCCTGAGTACCATCCCCTTGGAAGTAGCTCCCTCACTGGGGTGCTCAGCGTGGCCAGTCCCAGGTCTCAATATGTCTCCTTAACTGAAAGCACCTTTCGGAGCCACTTTTTAAGATTCAGCGTCTGAAATAGTCTTTTCATCTGTCCTGAGTAGCAGAACACCATCTTCCTTTACAGATGAACCAGGTCTTTGAGAACATGCTAGAAATTCCAGAGGCAGTGATCATTATGAAACCAAGAAACAAAATGTTTAGTCCGAGATTGAGTAGCGGGGGATCACTTTTTCTTCTGTGTCAGACGTGAAGCTGTTCCCAGAAAGTCTCAGCAGAGGTGGCAAACGAGCGAGCCTTTGAAGGTCGCTCTTTGGAAAGCTGGTGCGCTCACTACAGTTCCGAGGCATGCGTTCAGAAACCAGGGCTGCTCTGCAGCACTTTCTGTGCGACAGTGTGGAGTATGTCTTGATCCCATCAGGGGCTGAGCTCATAGGTACATGTTCAGCCATAAAACTGAAGGTCGAGCTGGGGAGGAGAACCACAGGACTTGAGCTAATACTGCTTTGCATGTCCGAAGCCCGGGTTCAGCTCCACACACCCCCGCACCACAGGGAGTCGCCCCTGAGCACAGAGCCAGGAGCACAAACAAGGGTGACCCCCAAACCAGAAGTAAATAACTGAACATTCACCGAATATTTGGTCACACATTTAGTCCGTGCACCAGGGCTGCAGAACACAGCTCTGCACGCAGAGTCGAGGCGCCATGTGTTCAAGATCACATGTCGTCTGACCTGCTTTAGTGCAGGAGCATTAGCTGAATAATTAACCCAAGTCCCAGAGTCACTCGGACCTGGTCTGCAAAGGACAGATGCAGGAACCCAAGCCCTCATTGCAGTGCTCAGCTGTGGGCGTCTGATCCCCAGTTCTGAGGTGGCCAGACGCCATGTGGAGGTAGGGAACAGAGGGCTGGCGGCCCAGCGGGTCTCACTGTGTGCAGAGCTGGAGCAGGGGACAGGGGCTACAGCAGCCTCTGTGCTGTGTATGCGAGGACAGGCCCTTCCCTGCAGCACAGGGCCGAGTGCAGGGAGAGAGTAAGATGGGCTCCGAGATGGTGGCGTTGGGTTTGTTCCCAGACCCAATCAAGGCCCAGGGAAATGACCCCAACCCAGACTTTGCATGCTGGAGCAAGAGTTTGACCCCCAGCACTGCCAGGTGCGTGTTCAGTCCCGAGCACTCACAGGAGCGACCCCCAAGCACTGAGAATAGCCCCTGAGTACCAGTCCAGAAAGAGCAACAAGAAAAAGGACTCAGTTGAGACTTTCTTGGGATACCCTTGGCTCTGGTCACCATCATTCAAGCAAGGAAGGTTCCACAGATGGAAAGAGGGAAGTGGCTTAGGGGCTGTCCCCATGGCCCAGAGAAGAGTCCCTTTGAAGGCTGCCCTCCAGCCTGATGGGAAAGTGGCTGGTGCTAATGTTTTAGAGCCAGCTTGGTTGGGGGGATACTGGCGTGTCCTACAGGAGGACACTGGGGAGGTCCTCTTATAGCCAGTTCCTGGTTCAGGGCGGAGACTGGCTCTGCCCTCCAGGGCTGGGCCTGGCCGGGGTCCTTTGGGTGTCCTTTGCCAGGAAGCACTGCTCTGGTGTCTGTCCAGATGAAGGAATTAAAGGGCTCAGTTCTCGTCCTGAGCTCGTCAAGGAATAGTTGGTTGCTGCGTAAGGGTCGGGTAGAGCCCACCAGCCTTGTTCACCACAGGGAGGGGGCATCTATAGTGATGGAAGCGTGGCCAAGAAGCCCCCAGTGCCCCTTGCGGGGGGAACACTAGGCCCCTCGTCCCTGCTGGCGATGCCACCTGCATGGCTCAGGAAATGGCCCCTCCAGCCTGGTGGGGTTGCTGGCGTACCCCTCACCACCCAACGGCCTGGAGATCAGTGCTGCCCCCCAGTTCTCAAAACCCATGACCTTTGCCCATCAGGGTCATGGTCAGGGTCTGTGACCTTCAGAAACAGGGGCAGGAGTGGGCTGAGGCTGGGCCTGCACCAGGAAGGGCTTTTGAGTCAAACTCACTTGGCCTAAGGCAGAAAGTGTGGGCATAGAAAACAAACAGTTGGGGCTTATCTGAGTGTCTCCATCCCTAGCCTAGGTGAGAGGTGGTCATGTTGCCCTTGTCAGCGTCCCCTACCCCCAGCCACCATCATTCTGCCATTCATCCTCCACCTGGCTGTTGCACCCGCTGACGGTTGCTGCGTCCTGCCTCCCTCCACCGCCTGCCACCAAAGCATGTGCAGAAAGGGGCTCTCCAGACCCCCCCATCTGCGAGTCCTCCCTGGGACTCAGAGCGGAGCCCGAGGCAGGTCCCAGCACTCGGGCATCAGCCTTGGGGGTGCAGGGCGGTGAGGATGGGGACGTGCCCACTCTCGGGTGACGCTGTCCTTTCAGTTGCAGGCCCAGGGCCTACTGTCTGGCCGACAGCGATGAGGAATCCTCGAGTGCCGGATCCTCAGAGGAAGATGATGCCCCGGAGCCCAGCACTGGAGATAAACCGCTTCTTCCCGGGGCGGAAGGGTGAGTGGATGGAGCTGCGGGCCGTGTTCGCCGCCCCCTCCTCTGCCTCCAAGATTTTCTTTCCAGTTGAGTTAATCACTTTAGTGTGAATACCCCAGGACCCACCCCGGGGGCTGCATCCCACAGGCGGCACCGCAGCGCCCCCTGGTGCCCAACAGGGAGCGTGACTGCCCTGCAGTGCCTTCAAGCTTGTTTTCCCTGCTCTGAGCCCCACCCAGGCCCATCCCCAATAGCACCGGAGTTTCGAGCTCCCTCCTTGGGAGCCTGTGGTAACAGGGTCAAGGCCAAGTCCCACAGAGACCTGAGCCACACCCACAGAGGTGCAACCCTCAGCTCCTTCGGGGCGGGCCCCCAGGCATGGCAACAGTGATGAAGGAATTAAAGGACTGAGACATCCAGGAGACTTGGTGAGTGAGTTCTGAAAGCATGGACCACTTTGTTCATCACAGATTTCATGGGGGTGGATTTGCCTTTCACACAAACTCTAGGTTACCCAGAGTGCTTAAGCAGCCTCACTCTAAGGACCTGTTCCTTATTAGGTAAAGGTAAAGGCCCTCCCGTTGATCGTCGATTTGCTCGAGCGGGCCCAGTAACGTCTCCATTGGAGACTTTGTTGTTACTGTGTCTGGCATATCGAATACTCTCGGTAGCTTGCCAGGCTCTCCGAGAGGGGCGGAGGAATCGAACTCGGGTCGGCCATGTTGGCCGCTTGTAAGGCGAACGCCCTACCCACTGTGCTATCGCTCCAGGAAATACCTTATTAAAAGTTCCTTATTAAAAGTAAGTTAAAGTGCGGGTGGAGAGATAGGCACTTGCCTTGCACTCAATTGACCTAGGTTCGATCCCCAGCACCCCATAGGGTCCCCTGAGCCTGCCAGGAGTGATCCCTGAGTACATAGCCAGGAGTAAGCCCTGATCACAATTATGACCCAAAACTGCCCCCTGTTCCCCCTCCCCCATAAATAAGTAAATTTTTGTGCTGGTTATTTAAAATATACCTGCTGAGCTGGGTAGATAGTACAGGGGGTAAAGTATGTGCCTTGCAAACCACACAGGGTGTCGTGTCCCATCTCCCCACCCCAACACCACCAGGAGTAGTCGCTGAGCATAGATCCAGCTCTGAGTACTGCCAGGTGTGGCCCCCAAACCCAAAGATGTAATAGTAATTCCCTTCCATCAAGGTAAATGAAATAAAACCTACCTGCTTGGGACTCTATTGGAAGCCTTGCACGTTGGAGGCCCGGCCAGATCCCTGTAGCACACAGTTCCGCCAGGCTGGCTTCCCCCAAAAATCATGTTTTTAAGTAGATGAGTCAAAAAATTTTAACCTGGAAGGAGTACTATTCCCAGAACACACATACACGACTTTGGAACTGTGGAGGGTTTTCCAAAGCAGACAAAATCAGACACCCACATTCCTGGCCTGCTGACATGCACATCAGCATGAGTGGCATTTTCCTTTAGAAGTTCTAAGGCCTTCACAGAGTCGGTGTGAGGACGGCACTGACAGGAACGCCCTTGATGGCCGTGCTCATGTCCCCCAGAGCAGCTAGTCCCCATCTGGACTAGCTCCAGCAGCACCTGGATTTGTATTCAGTCCTTTGGGGGGGGCGGTCTACATCTGGCGCCATCTGGCAGTGTCTGGGGACCTAGTTTATCTCAGTTTATTGTGTTCACAGGGGTAGTGGCCTGCGATGCCCTAAGCTGCCCTTACCCCCCCCAACTCCCTCCACCATCCCGACTGGCACTGGTACCATGGGTGAGGAGCCCCATTTAACAAGTGAGGGCCATAGGGCTTCCAGTCATAAAAAGAGCAGCATCTACTAATTCCTGTTTGTATCCCTCACTTAAAGGTATATTGGAGGTCATCGAACAAGTAAGATTATGAGGTTTGTCGATAAAATTACTAAATCAAAATACTTCCAGAAAGCAACAGAGACAGAGTTCATAAAAAAGAAGATTGAAGAAGTCTCAAACACACCCCTGCTGCTAACCGTTGAAGTACAGGAATGTCGGGGAACCCTTGCGGTCAACATCCCACCTCCCCCCACCGACCGGATCTGGTATGTCGCCCTCTTCCCAGCCTCTCCCCTTGGCAACCCCAAATGCCCCGGCCCCGCTGACTCCTGGGATCGGGGCCAGTCCCTTCTGCAGAGAAGCATTTCCAAATACTTTTCACAGAACCTTACCTTCATGTTGAATTCAGTTCTTCTTTGTTCTGTGAATGGCTCCTTTACATGTAAAGATTCAGATCTTCTCACACTAGGAAAAGCTCTGGTGAAACAGGAAGTTTGGAAGGTCAGCATTTCAGGGATGAGCTTTTGTTGGTCTTTCTTCTTTAAAGCAGCCCTTTCCAGCCAGAACAGCTGCCTGGACATCTCTTGCTCTGCCTGACTCGGGCAGACCGCACTCCCAAGTCAGTCCTGAATGTCTGGGGGAAGTGTGATGGTTGCCCCCAGGTGGGATCCATGGAAGAGGCCATCCCGGGATCAGGTCCAGGAACCTGTGCTGTGTGAGTGTGGTCACTGATTGAGCCAGTAGTTTTCATACCCCTGTATCTGTCAGTCACCTGGGCTCTGTTCAAGCCAGGACTGGGGACCCCTGAGCTAAATTATTCACGGGTCTAACAGAAGAAAATTGCTCTTTGTGAATCTCATTTTTGTGAAGTTCAAGGATCACTTCTGATGGAATCTGGGCTCTGGAAACCGCCAGGGATACTTTGGCTCCAGCTCGGATCGGCCACGTGCAAGGCAGGAGCCCTATCTGCTGTACTATCTCTCTGGCCCTTGTGGACCTCAGTTCTAAAATGCCACCCAAGTCCTGCGAATTTGCTTTAGTGTGCACAGGACTAGATCTGACCCCAGCGGCATGCACAGGAAAGATAACTCGATTCTGTCACAGCTGAACCCTCATGCCCATCTGGGCCCCAGGGACAGACTTGTGGAGATGATCAGAAGAGGATTTCTGAATTGACTAACCATTATTTGATGGTGATAGTGGATTTTCCCAGTAAAGACTGTCTCTTTAGATTTTCACCTTTTCATTTTAATCCCTTCCCTTAGACTTCTTAGCTAACTTAAGGATTTTTTTCAGTCATTATGAGTTGTTAGAGTTCTTCCTCTTGCTTCCAAGAGTTCGATTCCTCCGCCCTTCCGGAGAGCCCCAGCAAGCTACAAAGAGTATTTCGCCCACACAGCAAAGCCTGGCAAGCCCCCTTTGACATATTTGATATGCCAAATACAGTAACAACAAGTCTCACAATGGAGATGTTACTGGGCCCGCTCGAGCAAATCGATGAACAACGGAGGACAGTGCTACTTATAAGGAGAGAAAAGTAGAATTTTATCTAGAATTTTATGTAAAATAGTATCACTCAGTAGCCTTCTCAAGTGCTGCTCTTTGTTACGGATACACAAAGGTAGGCATTGATCCTGGAAGTGTTTCCAAACCTTTCCAGCACTTTCACTCTTTTCCCTCCCTGGAGGGCACCTGGCTTGCCAGGGTCACCTTGGCTCAAAGTTTCTAGTCAAGCAAGCAGCTTTTGGCCACGGAGAAGCACCTTCCAGGCCTTGGACATTTTCATTGTCTTTTTAAAATACTGGTTCACGGGGCCTGGAGCACTAATATGGCGGGTAGAGCACTCACCTTACATGCAGGTGACCTGCGTCCGATCCCTGACCCCCCCCACATGGTCCCCCAGGCATTGCCGGGACTGATCCCTGAGCATCACTGGGTGTGTTCCAAAAACAAGGGAAAATATTAAAATTAAAAAATAAAATAGCTGGGCTGGAGCAATAGCACAGCAGGTAGGGCATTTGCCTTGCACGCAGCCAACCTGGATTCAATTCCCAGCATCCCATATATATGGTCCCCTGAGCACCGCCAGGAGTAATTCCTGAGCGCATGAGCCAGGAGTACCCAAAAAGCAAAATAAATAAATAAAATAGCTTTATGATGGGCTGAAGTTTGCCACTGGTCTGATAGCATGGTCTCCTGTCAGGGTCCACGCCTGCAGTTCCAGTCTGGCTCATTGCCCTAGGAGGGATGTGTAGAGTGTGGGACCAACATTCCTGCTTATATATGCATAAAGAGAGAAGAGTAGGAAACTTCACCCCACTTTTCTCAGTGCCCTGGGGAATGGGGTGGTCTGAAACACAGGTGGCATCTTCCCTCTCCTTTTAGCACTCATATGTTTGGGCTTCATGATGCACCTACACCACGTTTAAATAACAAAATGAAGAAGTGCCCAAGTAATAAATCTTCCCAGAGGCCTTTCCCGACTGTCAGTGTTGTCAAATCTGTTTGGTACAGGAAGCTGGTAGAGCACCTGACTTGCAGGTGGGGGACTGCCCAAGCACCTCCCGGCTCCATCCTGCGTGCCTGCAGTCCTGGGGTGCGGCTGAAAGTGTGAGAACACCGCCAATGAGTGTGTGCAGCCCTGATCTTCACAAGAGCAACGGGAGGGGGTACAGGACAGTAAAAAGGGAAAAGGGGCCGGATAGAACAGCAGGTAGGGCATTTACCTTGCATCGCAGACCAGTGTTTGATTCCCAGCACCCCATATGGTCCCCCGAGCACCACCAGGAGTAATGCCTGAGTGCAAAGCCAAGGAATAACCTCTGAGCATCACCAGGTGTGACCTGAAAAGGGGGAAAAAAATAGAAGGAAAAGAAAAAAAATAGAAGGAAAAAAAATAGAAGGAAAGGATTCCTCTATTCAACAGGCCTGTGTAGGGTTCGAAGTCCCAGAATTCCAGAATTGCAGTATGGTGTGCTTTTCAGAGGGAATTCTCAGACTGGGAAAATGTAGGTAGTGATAAAGCCATGCGTAATAAGGAATGTTTGTTATTGGTAAATATCTACTTGCTTTCTTTGCTTCTAAATGTAGTTATTTGTTTCCTTCAAAAAAGGTACGGTTTCCGGAAGCCACCATACATAGAGCTGAAAGCTCGGCCAAAACTTGGAGAGAGAGAAGTGACTTTAGTTCACGTGACAGACTGGATAGAGAAGAAACTGGAGCAAGAGTTTCAGGTATACTCAGACTATTAACTGGCAGGTCACTCCCGGCGGGCCCTGTGCTCAGGGGACCAATGGGCTGCCAGGGATTTGACCCTGGTCAGCCAAGTGCAAGGCCCAACCCACTATGCTATGGCAGCTCAGGCCCCATCAAGCTTGCTTTTCTGCATTCCGCCACTTGAGGTGATCTCAGTGTCCCCAGGTCCTGAGACTTCTTTCCTACTGTTTCTGGATAGCCACACCTGGAAGTACTCCAGGAAGTACTCCATTGGTTCTGGGATTGAATCTGGGCCTTCCGCATGCAAAGCGATGGCCCCTAGAGTTTTCTCCCCTGCCCCTAGTCTAATTCCCCTCTGGGAACTTGAAGAGCATCTGCCTTCCTAGCCATCTAAACTTTGACTTTATCATTTTGTGTGTACTGGGAAACAGGGGGAGTGGATTGGCAGTAGTGATCAGATCCTACACTGTCTTTCTTTGTGCTTTTTCTCTTTTTTTTGGAGGAGGAACAGTGCTGGTCACTGGCAGGGCTTATGGGCCCCTCTGTGGTGCCAGGGATCAAACCCAGGCCAGCTGCCTGCTGTACTATCTCTCTGGCCATGGCTTACACTTTTGGTAGAGAGCACTACTGAGGATTCAAAGCAGTGCCATAGCCACTTTCGTAAAATGTGTTTCTAGACAGGCACAGCATCATGAGTCACTGCTGATGATTCTTTCTGTAGTAGGGTTTCTTTCCTCTGTAGCTTTATATGGTTCTGGTTTGGGAGGGTGGGGGCCTACTTTACTAGGATTATATTTATTATTGGGACTTAAATGGATAAATTCATTTGGAATGTGTTCTGGACATAGTCACTTCAAAATATTACGAACAACTTAAGACAATTCTCTTAATAGTGGATAGTAGGGGTTAGAGAGATAGTACAGCGGGTAAAGCACTTGCCTTGCACGCAGCTATCTCTGTTTTGATTCTTGGCATCCCATACGGTCCCTCGAGCACCACTGGAGCTATTCCTGAATGCAGAGCTAGGAGTAAACCCTGAGCATTGCCCGGTGAGGCCCCAAAAAAGAAAAAGTAGGTAATTACTCATGAGTAATTATACTATGTCCATAAACTCAAATGCTGCTTCTGCCTCAAGCTGACTTAATAACGTCTTGTATTCATGCACTGATGATTCCACTTCCTAAAGTTCAAAACATTTAGAAAAGGAATTTGCTTCGACTATGTGAGGAATGTGTTGCCCGTCTTTACTGCTTCTTGACCATTCTTCCCTGTGGTTGGTCTCTCCTTACAGAAAGTCTTTGTCATGCCAAACATGGACGATGTTTATGTCCCCTTAATGCACTCGGCCATGGACCCTCGCTCTGCATCCTGCCTCCTGAAAGACGCGCCTGTGGAGGCAGCTGATGAACTCTAAGGGGCGAGGCACTGATGGTCCCAGTATTCCGATATCTAGAGTGGGTGGCGCCCTCGGCCATCTGCGCCTTAGCACTGGCCTCTCTTTGTGCCACAGCTTCTACCCTCTGCCCGCTGGTGCCCATCCCACTGTGAGGTGTCACCCTGCACCCCGTTCGCACTGCCTGCCAGAGCTTTGACTGCAGGGAGGAGACTGGCCTGTCTGCCAGGTTAGGTCGCCACACGAAAGCACATGAAGAGCAAAGCCGTACACCCAGAAGCTCCTCGGACTCAGCTCCTCCAAAGCTTTTCCTGACAGCAAGTGCACAAACGGTATTGGGTTTTGGGATGCTACCCTCCACTCTGGTGTGGCAGAGTGGGGTAGGGCAGGGAGTGGAATGTTCTGGATAAGTGAAATCCACAAAGCAACTTTCTCATATTCAAGTGTGCATTTTGGAAGCAGCCATAGAACACACGTAAACACTAACTTGGATGGGAACAGTGGGCAAAGCCATGAGATCAAATCATTCCAACAGGCCTTTTACCAATGAGGTACCATCACCTGGTCGCTATTCCCAAATGTTTTTCTGAGACTCGAGCATTTGTGAAAATGTCTAACACTGCACCTGGCAAGGGAATAGGGGTGGGGACATAAAGCCAAGCCAGTCTCCACCTGGCATTTCCTCCGTGCAGTCGGCTTCATATGATCTGGGATGATGCTGTGGGCAGTTTCCATCTCTGATGGTCAAAAGGGAAAACTAATCACCAAGGTTGAGTCAAGACCCAAGTTTGCTTGACTTCAAACACTACATTTATCTCACAATGTGTGACCTTTTCACGTTGCCAACTTTTGTGCATTTGTGTCATAATGTAGTTTACAAATGTGGGAGCTCCAGTCATCCGATTTGCATTGAAGTAAAACAAAATTCCTTTAGAACTGCATTCAACATCAGAATTACCTTGGCTCTTTTGGTAATTTACATCTGTGGACAGCTAATAGTGGTTTTTTTAAACAGCACCTTGCCTGAATGACTTTAAAGAAATTAATATATTGAAAAAAGTATATTTGAACCCTTCCTTGATTCTAATTGTACCATTAAAACATGACTTAAATCAACCGACCATTCCAGTGGGTGTACTGTTCTAATTTCTCATTAGTTGGGCAGCATTTTGCCTGTTCACTGGGCCTCCTAATTCCTGTGCTGTAACTGGAGTCAGGGAAATCAGTTGCATTTACCCAGTAGTGTATGGGGATTTGCAATCCCTAACCGTGTTTCACAAATAAATCACTCATGTCGACTCTTAGACCAGAATCTTAAGTGATTTGTGCTGAATCCTATTCACAGTGGGGCATGAGGTGACAGCAGCCTTTACAGTCTCTTAGCGATTTCTGTAGGGCAATCAGATGCCATGTAGTTCCCGGATCAGCCTTTTCGAGCATAAACTTACATTCTTACTTGCCTAACATCCAAGCACTGAGTACCACTTTTCCTTGCCTACCAACCCTGTATTTGAAAAATCGACCCAGATCTTCCATCTCCCAGTACCTCTTGACCATGAAGACACACACTGGTGGGCACTCACATAGTACTTGTCCTACTTGCACCCAGCGTTGTAGAAAACCAATTTCTCAGGTACCCTGTTACTGTGAGCCATTTAAACTGAAACGCAAACTCGGGAAAATTTAATCCCACAAGGGCCGTAAGTACAGCGGACAGGTCCGTGGCTTGCATCCACCAAGTTGGGTCCGTCAAGCCCTAAGAATACGGTCCCTTCCCCTGGGGTGATTCCCAGACCAGCGCCAAGGCTAAGCCCTGCGCATTGCAAGGCGGAGAGGGGGAGGGCTCCCGCCTCATTTCTGGGCACGCAAAGTCGACAGGCAAAGTTCTCACGTCCCTGGGCGCCGGCCCAAGCCGGCTAGCGTGTCGCTCGCGGTTAAAAGAGCCGCCGGCGAGGGGGGCTGGCGGCCCCAGTTATGCGCGAGCCCGTGCTCTGGCGCTGCAGCCTGACCCCCGGGGCCACGCGCAGGCGCCGGGGGCTCAAAGGCAGCGCGGCGCGACTTAAGACGCGACACCAAGGCTAGGGTTAAAGCTCTTTATTCACCGGTAGGGGGTGGGGAAAAGGGTGTCTTCTGGGGAAGGTCGGACGCCGACGTCCTCGGTCGGCCGGGACCTGCAAAACACAAACCAGACGGCGTGAGCGGACGCCGGGGCCTCGCTCCTCCCGGCCGCAGCGGCTGTCACGGCCCGGACTCAGACTTCTGTTCGCATCACCAGCATCAGCAGTCTAACACGTGCATTGATTGGAATGTCATCACCGAAAGCCGCAGCTAGCCAAGCCCCCCGCCCAGGGCCAGCAGGCCACCACACAGCAGACGACACTCACCGCCGCAGAGCCGCAGAAAGGACGAGCGCGCAGCACGGCGCTCACTTAAACGAATAGACCGGATGTGGTAGGGCGGGCTTTCCCACTGCTGACCAGTAGCGAGCTGACTTCCGGACACGTGCACGGAAACTGGCCTCATGATTGGCCTTGTCTGGTTGAGTCCTCCAGAGTATAGAGAAGTCACGTAATAACCATAGAGCTATGTCAACTGAAGCGTGGGAGTGACGTGTTCTCTTCCAAGTCTTGCCGATTTCCATCTTTGTTGCCCCTTACTGATCAGTTCATCTTTTGGCAGAACACGAGAACTTTACAAACAGCAGGAGGCTACAAATGCCTGTCTTGTTTGAGATATTCTGTGCCGGAAACTAGACTAGGAGCTGAAGAAATATGAACAAAATTAAGCTGAATTCAAAGTTACCACTTTAGAAAAATCTTGTGTTTGAAATTAAGCAGGTGAGCCAACAAATGCCGACTTTGTGACAAATTTGTTCCATATCCTGGTCACTTCTCTGAGTTTCAATTTCTGAAAAATAGGCATATTCTCCAAAGTTGCAATGATTAAATGAATTAATGTCAGTTTTAGCTCATTGAGGTGAACTCTAAATTGTAGTACTTTAATAAATGCTTAAATAAGGGGCTGGAGTGATAGTAAAGCTGATGGGACGCTTGCTATGCATCAACCCCTGACACCTAGGTGGTCCCCTGAATGGTCCCTAACTGCAGACCCAGGAGTAATCCCTGAGCATCACCAAGTGTGACCCCAAAACCTAAATAAATACCTGGTGATGCTGAGGGGCTACTCCTGCCTCCATGCTTAGAGGTCATTCTGAGACCAGTTTTGAAATGTTCCAAGCAGATTCAGAAGGTACTACGTTTCCTTTCCACAACATCCTTAAAAAGACAACAATAGGGATGGAAATCAGGGTTTCCAAGGACTGGAACTGTAGGAATGGCTGGCCTATAGCCAAAGAAGGGCATTCGATAGAATGCTTTCTTTCGTGATTATGGTGATTCCATGCTTGTGTCAAAGCTTATAGAACTGTATCCCTAAAATATTTTACTATATAAAAAGTACAAATAAAGATTATATTTCATTATTATTATTTGCTCTGTATATTTGGGGCTATACTCTCCAGCTCCTGACTGTCCTCACTGGGGCCCCTTGGAGGGGGGGGCGGGTTGAGTTTCCCTCCCCGCCCTGAGCAGAACCCCAGCAGTTGAAGACCTCCAGAACCAGCTACAGCCATGCTTAAGACCACTGTCCACACGCTCAGATGAGCCTCACAAATGAAGGAACCGGCAGAGGAGCCCAGGTGTGCGGGACCCCGGACTGAGATCTCCAAGGCTGCTCGGATAGGGGCTGGGCCTCCTCCACCCACATCCCACATCTTCTAGTAGCTAGGCGTTACACCCACCAACTGCCCCAGGCTCCGTGTTATCCCATCAATGGCCAAGACCCAGGGACTATAAAACCAAGCTCCTGGAAGACTTCTTAGTATCTAGTTCTCATTCTTGGAGGACCCAGCAGGCTACCAAGAGTATCCTGCTCATACAGCAGAGTCTGGCAAGCTCCTGATGGCGTATTTGATATGCCAAAACCCAGTAACAATGATAGGTCTCATTCCCCTGACCCTGAAAGATTCTCCAATATGGAACTTGCTAAAATCTCAGGGCTAGGATGAATGGAGACGTTACTGGTGCCTGCTCGAGAAAAATGGATGAACAACAGGATGACAGTGATACAGTGATACTATCCAGCTCATTATGGTTTGTGACTGCTATTTCCATCATGGATTTGGGTGGGGAGGTTGGGGTCATAACTGGTGATGCTGAGGGGCTACTCCTGCCTCCATGCTTAGAGGTCATTCTGAGACCAGTTTTGAAATGTCTCAAGCAGACACGACCAGCTCTGGCCAGATAAAGACCAGACCAGCCATTTTGCGAAACCAGCCTGACCTTAGTCACTGTTTGCTTGTCTCAGGACTGACAGGCTAAACTTCCCAAGGTGAGTTTCTGCTTTCTTTAAGGGAAGCGAGTCTCTCCTTATCGCTCCTGAGGGTTTGGCACATGCATGGTATCTGTTCTCTATCCTCTGGTTCCTACCCATGCATGCTCTAAAGTTGGAGCAGGTTTCTCAGGGCCCCTGCTGTCATCTCTGAAATTGATCATTTGGGGGTGGAGGGGCTCCCTTCATCTTATAGCTACTTACTTACCCATTTTTAGTTTCATTGCCTTTGTGGGGAGGAAGGTTTGGCCACCAAACCAGTGCTCAGGGCTTATTCCTGGTTATGTGTTCAGAGATCATGCTTGGGGGACCATAGGTGGTGCCAGGGCTCAAACCAGGATCAGCTGAGGTCCAGGCAAATGCCTTAACACCTGTACTATCTCTCCTGCCCCATGCTTATTGTCTTTTTTGTTTTGTTTTAGTTTTTGGCCACAACCAGCCGTGCTCAGGGCTCACTCCTGGCTCTGTGAACAGGGATCACCCCTGGGGAATTAAACCTCAGTCTGCTGCATGCAAGACAAATGCCTTAACCCCTGTATCATTTCCCTGGTCCTGCTATTTGTGTCAGAGAAGAAGAGGTTTGGGCCACACCTGGCAATCCTCAAGACTTACTCCTGGCTTAGGGACCATATGCACCCCCAAACAGCACTGCAATAGTACTTTATTTGTTGTTGTTTTGCAGGGGAGGGTCACATCCAGCAGTGCTCATTGTTTTCAAAAATAGATTTCTTGCAGTCAGCGAGTGAGGCATTTGTTTGCCATGCACAGAGTTGCCTTGGATTGAGTCCCTGACACTGCATGTGGTCCCTTTCATTTATCCCTCACTCTGAGAAGAATTTACAGACAGAGCTCCCACTGCAGGAGGAAAAGGCACTTTGTATATTTTAGCTGAATTCTTTGAGCAATCCTGAAAGGGAATTAATACTATTAATACTATTCCGGGGGGGGGGAGCAGGGATGATTTTCCCCCTCTTATTTTGCAAGCTTAAATTCTATTATGGGTCTGAGTGATAGCACAGCATTTAGGGCATTTGTCTTGCATGTGGCCAGCTTGGGTTCAATCCCCAGAATTCTATATGGTCCCCCCCCCCCCCCCCCCGAGCACTGCCAGGAGTGATTTCTGAGTGCAGAGGAAGGAGTGACCCCTGAGCATTGCTGGGTGTGACCCAAATAAGAAAAAAAAATCAAATCTATATCAGAATGCCGAGGTTTTGAGAGATTAATCTGTGTACACTGCCAGGATAGCTGAGCAGAACTGGAGCTTGAACTCACTGCAGTTTGTTTGGTTTTGAAGCTTATTGTGAGAATCACTGTACTATGTATCCTCCTGGAGGTGGTTCTTTGGAAATTTTTTCTTAAATTTTTGGGCCAGAAAGATTGTATGCTTGCCATGTACATGGCTGACTTTGGTTCAATCCGTGGCATCCTATACGGTCCCTTGAGCCCTGCCAGGAGTGATCCCTGAACAGAGCCAGAAGTAACCCCTGAACACTACTGGGTGTGAACCCCCCCAAAATTTATTTAAACATTTTTAAATGTTAGTGACTGTGACACACAATACTGTTTGTGACAGGGTTCCAGGCACACAGCATTCAAACCCCACACCCTCCACCCTTCTCCAGAGCATCCACTCCCCTTCACCACTGTCTCAGGGTTGCCCCCAGTACCCCAAAACACCCTCCCAAGCTCTGCTGCTTCCCTAACATGGTAAGCTTAGTTCTGTAGAATATAGCTCAGGTTCTACTGGCCATTTGTTATCCCATTATTATTACGTTTCTTTATATCCCACACAGCGGGTAGGGCATTCGCCTTGCACCTGGCCGACCCGGGTTTGATTCCTTCGTCCCTCTCAGAGAACCTGGCAAGCTACCAAGAGTATCCCACCTGCACGGCAGAGCCTGGCAAGCTCCCCGTGGCTTATTCAATATGCCAAAACAGTAACAAGTCTCACAATGGAGACGTTACTGGTGCCCACTCGAGCAAATTGATGAACAATGGGAGGACAGTGCTACATATCCCATATATGTGAGATCATTCTGTATCTGTCTCTCTTCTAACTCCACTCAGCATGATCCTTTCCAGATCTATCCCGTAGTGAAAATTGCATGCTGTTGCCTTTCTTACAGCTGTGATTGTGTTCCATTGTGCATATGTGCATAGTTCCTTTACACACTCATCTGTTCTTGGACACATGGGTCATTTCAGATTTGGGCTACTGTAAGTAGTGCTGCAATGAACTTAGGAGTATAATTGTCCTTCTGAATAAAGTTTTTTGGGGGGAGGGTTCACACCTGGCGATGCACAGGAGTTACTCCTGGCTCATGCACTCAGGAATTACTCCTAGCGGTGCTCAGGGGACCAAATGGGATGCTGGGAATTGAACCTGGGTCAGCCACGTGCTAGGCAAACGCCCTAAACGGTGCTATCGCTCCAACTCCTAAATAAAGTTTTTGGGCCATTGTTGTTGGTTTTTTTTTCCCTTTTGGGGCCATATCCAGTGGTTTTGCTTTTCAAAAGGGAAAAAAAATTGCTTATGGCTTGAATTTGAGTCAGTTTGGGTACCAGCTTACCCTTGGAGTAAAGTTAAGGTAGTCTGATGGGCTTGTTTATTGCTTATAGCAAACCCACTGTCACTCAGCTTCAAACAAGTGCTATTACAGTCTCTCTCTCTCTCTCTCTCTCTCTCTCTCTCTCTCTCTCTCTCTTTCTCTCCCTCTCCCTTTCTCTGTCTCTCTCCCATAATTTTTTTTTAAATTGTCAGGGAAGGGTGGACCATACCCAGTGTTATTCAGGGGCTATTCCTGGCTCTGTTCTCAGAAATGGCCCCTGATAGTGTTTAGGGGGCCATATGGGGTGCCAGGGGTTGAACCTAGATCAGCAGCATGCAGAACAAACACCTTAATTCCTGTATTGTGTCTCTGGCCCCGTTA